GTTAAATGCAGAGAACACATGTCACTGTGTGCTCTGCATGTGTGACCATTAAAGAGGGTTTTCATCCCTCCCAATTCTATTCTATTCTATTTGAACAAACTAATGTGGTTGTGTTCAAGAGTTTCCTCGAGAATTTCTGTGACATTTTGAGTAAATTAGAGTAAATTCTCACAGAATAAAAATCATTTCCATGATTGGTTCTCCCTGCAAAACACTAGCATGTCTGTAAACTCTTAGTCTTTCTGTTAACATGGGGGATAAACCAAATTCCAGAAAGTCCACAACACAGTGAGTCATCTACTGTATCTGATACTTAAATAGCTGTATTTGCAAAACACTGCTCGTAAACCCCGGCGAGCCATAGGCAATGCTTGGAAATTATGGATTAAGGATACAGATTAAACATGACTCACGCATGTAAGGTTAATAAGGTCAAGCTCACGGGTCCATGAGACATTCATGTGAAAAACATAAGGACCAGTCAGCATAAGAAATCAACACTGAAGAACCTGATTTGAGTCTAAACTCTTCTCCTGGCGAAGGTTTAAAGGTGATATTGTTTTGGGGATTTGCCTAAAAGACCCCGACTGACCCCCCTGTTTACAGTGAAGGGTGTTGATGTGGGAGCACGTACGCTGGGATGTCTGTCTGCCAGATTACCGGGTGATTGAGAGGACTTTGTGGGATTACTGAACATGATCCTGTCTGGAAGCTGAGGTGGCCCCACTCTGCGTCAAAAAAGTGTGTGTGGGGGGGGGGGGGGGGGGGGGGGGGGGGGGGGGGGTGTTCCCTGTTCGTTAATGGTACGGTACGATGACGTCTTTCTTGCATCAGATCAGCTTCATTTGCAAGGACAAATACGATCAATATGTTCTGGCCCCTTTAAAGGTCACCTATTATGCAACATGTGTCCCCTCTTCTTCATGTCTCTTCTACATCAACATGTGTCCCCTCTTCTTCATGTCTCTTCTACATCAACATGTGTCCCCTCTTCTTCATGTCTCTTCTACATCAACATGTGTCCCCTCTCTTCACGTCTCTTCTACATCAACATGTGTCCCCTCTTCCTCATGTCTCTTCTACATCAACATGTGTCCCCTCTTCTTCATGTCTCTTCTACATCAACATGTGTCCCCTCTTCTTCATGTCTCTTCTACATCAACATGTGTCCCCTCTTCTTCATGTCTCTTCTACATCAACATGTGTCCCCTCTTCTTCATGTCTCTTCTATATCAACATGTGTCCCCTCCCCCCCCCCCCTTATCACCTGGATCTCCTCCTAGAGCACCATTGAGTTATTTGTAACCAAATCTCTCTCAGAGGGGCGTGGGGAGGGGCTCCTTATTTTCATCTAAAGTAACAGACAGAGAATCAGCACTTTGGAAACAGGGCTGAAACAGAGGGGATTATGGGATGCTGCAATGATCTGTTTGGTGTTTCAGCCAATCAGAGACAGGTTCTGTATATATCTGAGACCTGTGATATATTGATGAAAGACAGTATAATAGGGGACCTTTAACATACATTTGATCTGGGAGTGAACTCTGTATTTATGTTATGAAAATACGATACGATACGATATGATAATACATTATTGGTCAGATCAAGTCTGAAATGTGACTTGCATCACAGCAGCTCCATGTGTGACATCAACACAAACACATATCAAGACACAACACATGAAAAACCAACAACAAACATTGAACATAACAGCACGATCAGTGAGAGAAAACCTGCTCAAAGAGCCTTCAGCGTGCATGTGATCTGGATTCAGAAAAGTCTCATTTCTTTTTCAATAGCCTTCTATCATGTGACCCAATGACCTCAAATCAATTCAGCCTAGTAGTAATACACGTACACACAGAAATATATAACCGTTTTTATGAATAAATCTGCAACATTTTAAGTGAATATATTACATTTTCTCAATAGCTTTCATATCAGGTGACCCATTCACTCCAAATCGTAGCAGCATCGTATAGAGTGGTGCAGGAATGAGTCCTAAAATCGTTCAACAATCAGCATGTTAGCACTTCTGGTTCCTTTCTCTTGAAGTCAATGGTTTTCTAAATGTGTTTTTGGTTGTTAGCCTGAAATCAGATCTGTGGTTAACACAAGCTGAAGACATTTTAACATTTCTTCTACGACATAAATACGTCCCCACTGGAGAATTTAACAACAATGCTAACAAGTGTCTAAATGGTTTTGATGGTTCAGGACATGGCTGGGGTTTGAGACAGCCTCAATGCTTGGTTGATTCTTCGAGTTTCCCAGTGAACTGCCATGATGCTACAATGTCAAATAGAGTGCAATGTGGCCTCAAGTACTGTCTTTTGTTTCTGTGTAGCCTGGTTTCAGATTTTGCATAATTTTTCTCCAGTTTCTGTGAATAGCGTAGTGACCTCAGAGCATGTGTGACGACTGCCTCTTAAAAGCCTGCTAAATACGAGAGCATCACATACAGAACGTGGAAACATATTTGCACAGTAATTGGCAGCTGCTTTCTGTTCTACGCTGGATTGTCATAATAGTAGACTGTAGTGCTGATGGTTTAAACCCAGGACACATTATTCCCTCTGTGTATAAATGATAACACAGTCTGCCCTGCAATCATGCTGACACCATTATCAACTGTATTTAAAGCTTTTCAGAGTGTTTTCTCTCGTCATTAATTGGGTGAAAATATTGCCGGTGGTAATTGATCATGAATGGAACAAAAGCTAAAAGCACATACGCATTACAACCAAACGTATCAGTGATGATCCTCCTCATCCATGTATTGACAAATTCATAACTATCATAAATGCATTTACTAGAAGTGTCTTATTTATTTATTGGTCAAAAGCCTCTGCCAGAGGTGATAAACTCCAGTAATGCTGAGACTTCCCGACAGCCGAACATGCCCAGATGCCATCTGGCAGTGTCAGCTTGAAACCAAAGATGCCGCGAGCCGTATTCATTCTGCAGATTTCTGCCTTCAACCTCATTCTGTTTGCTGAAATTAACCGCACCGAGTTTCACCTGACCTGTGAGATTTAGTTGAGATTCCCGAGAAAAAACCCCATCATCTATCAGTCGATTGACGTAAATATAATAATTACCAACAACTTTGATAATCGATTTATAATAGTTAAAGTGCAAAGGAGACGGAGAAATCCTCTTATTGCAGAAAATGTACGGTAAATACCTCACTGGGGAATCTAAAGTGTCTAAATGAGACGACTAAATGTCATCACGCCTAACATTAGCCACCTTTAGCTTAGCGGTGGTGACGTGAAGTCATGTGACCGTGCTGTAGTTCCTTTATAGCCCAACATTAGCCACCTTTAGCTTAGCGGTGGTGATGTGAAGTCATGTGACCGTGCTGTAGTTCCTTTATAGCCCAACATTAGCCACCTTTAGCTTAGCGGTGGTGAAGTGAAGTCATGTGACCGTGCTATAGTTCCTTTATAGCCCAACATTAGCCACCTTTAGCTTAGCGGTGGTGAAGTGAAGTCATGTGACCGTGCTGTAGTTCCTTTATAGCCCAACATTAGCCACCTTTAGCTTAGCGGTGGTGACGTGAAGTCATGTGACCGTGCTGTAGTTCCTTTATAGTCCAACATTAGCCTCCTTTAGCTTAGCGGTGGTGACGTGAAGTCATGTGACCGTGCTGCAGTTCCTTTATAGCCCAACATTAGCCACCTTTAGCTTAGCGGTGGTGACGTGAAGTCATGTGACCGTGCTGCAGTTCCTTTATAGCCCAACATTAGCCACCTTTAGCTTAGCGGTGGTGATGTGAAGTCATGTGACCGTGCTGCAGTTCCTTTATAGCCCAACATTAGCCACCTTTAGCTTAGCGGTGGTGACGTGAAGTCATGTGACCGTGCTGCAGTTCCTTTATAGCCCAATATTAGCTACCTTTCGTTAGCTTTTTACTTTGCTGAACAAAATTCGTAAATATCACAAACTTTGTTTGACACAGAGATTATTTCCTGCTAAATCCAATAGAGGAATCCCATTGAACCAGGGAGATGCTGCCTTCAGGGTCAAGCTACAGAAACACGTCATCCCTGCACCACTTAATTGGAGCTCTGTGTCATTTATGAGGTGACACTAAATTTGTCCTTCAGTGGAGCTGCTCACCGACGCGTCAGTGGATTATCGGTCACGGATTAAATCTGCGTTCCACAGCGTACGTCTTCACACTGGCTGCCCTCCAGAGGGACAGAACAGAAGACATCATGAAGCCATATTACATCACAGAAAACCTAAGACCTTTAATTTAATTAATTATCATCTTGAAGTATTCAAGGGAATGTGGGATTAGATAACCTTTTTGTTCAAGAGTAATATTTGTGTCAAAAATATACATTTTTCATCCAAAAAACTGTAAATATATTATTGGAATTGTGATACTGTTAAGAAAACACACACCACAATGCAAAGTGTGGATGTACAGGCTGGCTGATGAGTGCAGCCCCTTCTAAATCCTCAGATGTTTACAATAGCTAAAGCCCCCTAATAGAGATAAAGGTCTCTGACGTCAGTCCATCGTTCAGAAAGGAGCTAATCAGCAGCTTACTGTCCCGATGTAACACAACATGCAACACACGTGCAACACAACATCAGTGCAGCTTACTGTCCCAATGCAACACAACATGCAACACAACATCAGTGCAGCTAAAGGGTCAACACACTCCTCCTGAAACACAGGTTAGAGTCTTACTAAGGGAGTATTTAGATATAATCATGGGAGAACTCCTTGGAAAAGACACAGGGGCCCTAAGGGTCCTGCCACCTACAACATGTCAATTAAAGAGACACGCAAAGACTAAGAAAAGACTCAAAAAGAGACAAAAAACGTGTACAAAGAGACACAAAGAAACTATGAAGTCAGAACATACAGAACTACCATAAAAAGACCATCACAGCTACCAAGATGCACAAAATAGCCACAAATAGACTGTAATAACTGTACATTCTTGTTTTTATTGCACAAAAATTTAATTTCACACGATTTGAGGAACAAAACAAACAAATAGCGTTAACGAAAACTGTAAAAAGGCTAAAATATAGAGACGTTTTTACATTTTTGGGAACAAAATAACCAAACCTTGTTGAGTATGAAAGAAGTGACTCAAAAACGGATTATTTCAAATATCGTTATACATAGATTTATTAATGAATGCTTTCTAATATTTGTACATTTGTGTATGTATGTTTTAACTTGACTTACTATAATAATGTGGTTTGTTGTGGGATTTTTCCACTTTATTATGTTATTTTTATTTCTGGTGTGGGGTAAACGTGTACCTGTCTTTTGCTGGAAAACCAAATGCCAATAAATATATTTGTCAAAAAAAGAACATGTAAAAAAGTGTATAGCTAGTTGTTTACAAGCGTTGTAAGTCACTGTTAAAAAGCCATTAACAAAAGCACACCCCCATTTACATATTTAGGATTTCTTCATGTGTGTTGTTTTCAAATTCCCAGTTTTTACCAAAACCATCTGTACATTTGTAGACGTCATTTGCTGGGAAGAGAAAATGGCAATAAGTATATTAGTTTAAAAAAAGCCTCCAACACATGATGAATCTTCGGTGTCATACGTCCAGCTGCTCCTCGGCCTCCGGGCTCTGCACGCTCAGCGGGCTCTGGGGGAACCGGATGGCCTCGCTGTTGCGCCGCATGTAGGCGTGTCCGCTGATCGGACACCACATCTCCGTGAAGCTCATGCTGGCCACGGTGATGGCACAGCGGCCCAGCACCTGCAGAGGTCAAAGGCTTTAGGGTTACATGCACAGGAGGCTCATCCAACATCCATCTATCCATCTATCTATCTATCTATCTATCTATCTATCTATCTATCTATCTATCTATATATCTATCTATCTATCTATCTATCTATCTATCTATCTATCTATCTATCTATCTATCTATCTATCTATCCATCTATCCATCAACAGATTTCACATTACTGTATTAGGTTAGCTGAAAACAATAATATTAAAGTGGACCTATCATGCTATATTTGAATAATATAGTGTAGGACCATACCTATATAAGGCATATTTATACTTTTTTTTTTTCAAAATACCAAACAGATCATGCATTTTAGCCATGCCTCATTTCGCTCAATTTGACATTTTTTTGCTCTGTTTTAGCAAGGGCAGATTCAGTGAGAACAGCACCACCTACAGGCCTGGCATATGTACTACAGCGTCTCCAGCGCTTTCGAACGGCAATGGCCGTGGCTGTCTCCTCCTGATTGGTGGAGTTGGCCCAATAGCCGTAGCGCCACTGTCCTGACGTCAGGACAGTGTTCAAATCTGGATCAGTTTTTATCAGATCCGTTGCAGCCCCTTTTTTAGAGATTTGGGTATGGAGGAAAATAGAGAGGGTTGTGTTTTCTGACACTTGGTGAGTTTCTGACACAAGGTGGGCTTTGAGTGATTTTTTGAATGCGGTGAGAAGGAAGAGTCTCTGAAAGTAAACGCTCCAGTGTTCTCGGCGTACCTTGAAGCCACACTTCCGGTAGAAGGGGATGAGGAGGTCTTCACACATGAGCACGGCGCGACGCACCGACGGCAGGCAGCGCAGGAACTGCAGGTAGCGCCACAGCAGCACCGGGCCTTTGCCCTGCTGCCGGAAGGTCCGGTGCACCGCCAGGATGTGGATGTGAACCGTGGAGCCGCGGGGCTTATGGAGGGTCAGAGCGTCCTGCAGACAGAGGAGGAGGGGTGTTAGAAAAATATCACTAGTACGATTTTACTGTTGTTGACAAACAAAGTTTTTTGTTGAAGCAAAAATATAATACAATATTCCGAAACAATGTATGTATACAAGACGTATACAAAAAGTAAGTACAAGAATGATATGAAAAATGACTGAAGAATAAAATAGGTGCGATATACCAGATTTTAAATTAGAAACTTGCTTGAATGTGAAATATGATTCTGTGTATTTGGTACAGTGTCTTACTTCAGTGAGTCTGTCCTTGTCCCACAGAGAGCCGATGATAAACGCCACGAGCCGGCCCTCCTCAATCCATCCCATCGACAGCTCGGGACACAGAGACAGGAAGTGACGCACCTCATCCAGGTGGAGCGGACACTCACCGGACACCGAGATAAAGGCTGAGAGAGAGAGAGAGAGAGAGAGAGAGAGAGAGAGAGAGAGAGAGAGAGAGAGAGAGAAAGGAGAGGAGAGAGAGAGAGAGAGAGGAGAGAGAGAGAGAGGAGAGAGAGAGAGAGAGAGAACCGCGCGTGAAATAAACGGCACAGCTTTTACGCAACGCTAGATTGTCCATTAAGACATCATACAATGTAATGGAAACGTGTTTTACATAATAAACCATATTTTAAATACAAAAGGGAAAACAACTTCGATGCCACACTCGTTATTATACGAACATTTAGTCTGGTCACTAGGTGCTTTTTTTTTCTTCCAATAAGGTGTCTTGGAAAAAAAGTAATAGGAATTTAAATAAGTCCTACTAGGACTTATTTAAATTCCTAGTAAATAGGACTGTCCTAGTATAGTATGTAAAAAACCAGGAAGAGTCGTGGTGTATTGTGTCCAAATAATATATGAAAAAGTAAAACTTTGGAAAATAGTTGTTCAAATGAGAAAAACACGAGTAAAAATTACAATTGGCACGACTTTTACGCACGCTGAAACCAGCCAAAGTGTCCCATTAAACATCGTGTTTAATGACATGGAAACATATGTACCATATTAACAAGGTAAATAAAAGAATGTGTGACTAAGTACACAAGGGAATAATGTAAATTACGTCACACGTTTTGTTTCGTTTCTTATGAAAGGTCGTCTATCGCTAATTCTGGTCACTTACTTTCTACTAAAAAAGTAAAAAACAAATGTGTTTAAAATGTTTAAAAAGTCATATAGCTTCTCTAAAAAATGCCACGCTATTGTAAGTCACTACATATCAAGGTTTAATATGAAAATGACTACAAACTTCCCCTCTGTGGGACGAATAAAGATATTCTGAGGTATTCTGAAAACAATTGGCACGAGTTTGACGCACGCTGAATCCAGCGCAAATCCCCCTTAAACATTTCACATGTCATATCCAACACATTAAAGCTTATTTAGTAGAAGAGCTGACCAATGTAAATGCAAAATGGGACTCAGGTATGATGGTGCCACACTTGGTTTTACGCACACTCGCTACAGTGCTTCCTTTTCCTTCACAGCGGATTTCTGCCTCGCCATAACCCGGACAAATCCACTTACCTTCTCTCTCGATCTCAAACACGCTGATGGCATCCTGCGCGTTCAGAGGCCGCACCTCGCTGGCGGGGAGTGTGTGTCTCCTCTGGAACCCGGGGGACACGGAAGGCTGCATCGGTGTGGTAAAAAGGCTAGGAGCTAACTACGGACATCACAGGATCAACTCTCTCCTCCTTCTCTCCCTCTTCTTCTTGTCTTTCTACTCTCCTTCTCTTCTGTCAGACCCTGAGAGGAGAGCAGGATGGGGGGGGGAGGGGGAGGGGGGTCAGTATTTATAGGAACTCCTCCTCTGTCACCGGCTCATCTGCATCTCAATGTTTAGGATATGTATTTATTTATTCCACACATGGTAGTTATTTTAAAACAAAACATGTAGCCTACCCTTATACGTTTTATTTTAATTAATTTTTTTATAGCACATGGTGGAAAGGAGCAGGGAGAAGAACATCTTATTTGACCTGCCCCTTCTATATATATATATATATATATATATATATATATATATATATATATATATATATATATATATATATATAATAGAGTAGTATAAATCTTTATTGTCTCATACAAAGTACAGCGACATTTCTTTGGCAACTCTCACTGCATAGACACAAATGAATAAATAAATAAATAAGAGTAAAAGCAGAGGTAGCAGCGATGACAGTGCAACGAGAAACAATTCAACGTCAATGTGCATATTTACACTTACAGTCTAAACACGTTAAATGTACAAAACTGTATGAATGTAGTGTGTTTCTGACTGTGTTCATAAAGGTTATAGTGACCAAAGGATGCAGGTCAAATAGCCCAAAACGTACCTATTTTTATTATATCTTTTTACTGTGCATTTAACCTCCTGTATTACTTTACATATTTTCGATTCTGTTTTATATTATATTTGTTATTGTTTTGCACAAGATTATTTAACTCCTTCTATTTGATTGTATCTTTTTTCCTACACATTTCTATTTCAGCTCCTATTGTATTCCTCCTCCTCCTCTCTCATCTGCATCTCAATGTTAGATGTCAGGGAACAGGGAAGATCCATTTTACACCCTGAACTCTGCAATGACCTGCTGCTGCTGCTCAGTGGACAGACGACGCATTATGAGTCACCACTGTGTGTTTAGCAGGTGTGTGTTAACAGAAGCAGTGTATATTGGACAATGGCCCTTTCTCATTTCTCTAATTCCCCTCCTCCCTTCCTTGACTCCTCGACTCCTTGGTCCTCCGGTAGTGACCCGGAAATGGATTTCAGCGTGCCATGTTGAAGGACATCTCATTTCTCTAAGCGCCTGCTGCTTCCCCTCCTCGACTCCTCCGCTCGCATCTCCTGTGGGCGGGGCTAGGACACGAGGATAGGAGTCGAGGATAGGAGTCGAGGATAGCAGTCGAGGAGGGGAATTAGAGAAATGAGAAGCCTTTCATGTGTGTTAACAGAAGCAGTGTGTCCAATGTATCTTGGACAATGGCCCTTTCTCATTTCTCTAATTCCCCTCCTCGACTCCTCTCCTCGACTCCTATCCTCGACTCCTATCCTCGACTCCTATCCTCGTGTCCTAGTCCCGCCCACAGGAGATGCGAGCGGAGGAGTCGAGGAGGGGAAGCAGCAGGCGGTTAGAGAAATGCGATGTCCTTCAACATGGCGCGCTGAAATCCATTTCCGGGTCACGACCGGAGGACCGAGGAGTCGAGGAGTCGAGGAGGGGCCAATGTCTCCAGACCACTTTAATGTAAGTATTATTGCTTCTTATGATTGCACACATATTTCTATTTTGTATTATTTTTATTGCACATTTTGACTTTAACCTCTTATCTTACTTTCAATGTTTTTTATTTTTGTATTGTTTTGCACATGATTATCTAATTCCTTATTTATTGTTATATTTTTCCTACACATTTCTACTTGAACTTCTATTTTATTTAATTGTATTTAATGTCATCTTTTATTAGTATTTTATTTTATTTTATTTACTGCACATTATTTATTTCACTTTTTGTATTTATATGAATTTTTGTATAATATTTTATCTTTTTGGTTAATGTTGAATTAAACTTTTGATGTTTATATGAACGTTAGTATTTCATCTTATTTAATCTCATCTTAAAATTGAATTTTGATCTTTTTAAATGATAAACTGTCACGAAACCCAATTTATAAAAATAATAAATCAATGAAACATTCTGGTAGAAACGCAGTAATCTCTGCACTTAGTGGCACCGTTACTTCCCAATATAACTACGAATAAAAACCTTTCCACGCTGATGTGTTCAAACTTACCGGGTCGTGCTGAGGTTCTCCGGTTCTCCGTCTCCTCAGACGTCTCTCCTCATGATGAAGTGATTATTAATATCACATGACGGAGGATTACAGAAGTTACTGACGCATTACAGAGACGTTATCTCTCTGAGACGAGCACAACACGTTCATCTCGCTAAGACACAGTCTGTAGGAACAGTCATTTCATCAATATATTACAGGTCTCAGATATATACAGAGCCTGTCTCTGATTGGCTGAAACACCAAACAGATCATTGCAGCATTACCCATAATCCCCTCTGTTTCAGCCCTGTTTCCAAAGTGCTGATTCTCTGTCTGTTACTTTAGATGAAAATAAGGAGCCCCTCCCCACGCCCCTCTGAGAGAGATTTGGTTACAAAGAACTCAATGGTGCTCTAGGAGGAGATTCAGGTGATAAGGTGGGGGGGGGGGGGGACACACACACATGTTGATGTAGAAGAGACATGATTTGCTGATTGGCTAATGGTTACACAAGACAACACATCGTTATGACATCATAAAGTGGCCAAAATCTGATCAGCTCATTTTCAGACAGGTTTTTATAGAAATGGATCAAGAATCTTTGTTCCTGAAACTTTCAGAGTCTCTTTCCACAGAGGGGACACATGTTGATGTAGAAGAGACATGAAGAAGAGGGGACACATGTTGATGTAGAAGAGACATGAAGAAGAGGGGACACATGTTGATGTAGAAGAGACATGAAGAAGAGGGGACACATGTTGATGTAGAAGAGACATGAAGAAGAGGGGACACATGTTGATGAAGAAGAGACATGAAGAAGAGGGGACACATGTTGATGTAGAAGAGACATGAAGAAGAGGGGACACATGTTGATGTAGAAGAGACATGAAGAAGAGGGACACATGTTGATGTAGAAGAGACATGAAGAAGAGGGGACACATGTTGATGTAGAAGAGACATGAAGAAGAGGGGACACATGTTGATGTAGAAGAGACATGAAGAAGAGGGGACACATGTTGATTGTCGAAGAGACATGAAGAAGAGGGGACACATGTTGATGTAGAAGAGACATGAAGAAGAGGGGACACATGTTGATGTAGAAGAGACATGAAGAAGAGGGAACATGTCTGATGAAGAAGGACATGAAGAAGAGGGACACATGTTGATGTAGAAGAGACATGAAGAAGAGGGGACACATGTTGATGTAGAAGAGACATGAAGAAGAGGGGACACATGTTGATGTAGAAGAGACATGAAGAAGAGGGGACACATGTTGATGTAGAAGAGGACATGAAGAAGAGGGGACACATGTTTGATGTAGAAGAGACATGAAGAAGAGGGGACACATGTTGATGAAGAAGAGACATGAAGAAAGAGGGGACACATGTTGATGTAGAAGAGACATGAAGAAGAGGGGACACATGTTGATGTAGAAGAGACATGAAGAAGAGGGGACACATGTTGATGTAGAAGAGACATGAAGAAGAGGGGACACATGTTGATGAAGAAGAGACATGAAGAAGAGGGGACACATGTTGATGTAGAAGAGACATGAAGAAGAGGGGACACATGTTGATTGTAGAAGAGACATGAAGAAGAGGGGACACATGTTGATGAAGAAGAGACATGAAGAAGAGGGGACACATGTTGATGAAGAAGCGACATGAAGAAGAGGGGACCACATGTTGATGAAGAAGAGACATGAAGAAGAGGGGACACATGTTGATGTAGAAGAGACATGAAGAAGAGGAGACACATGTTGATGTAGAAGAGACATGAAGAAGAGGGGACACATGTTGATGTAGAAGAGACATGAAGAAGAGGGGACACATGTTGATGTAGAAGAGACATGAAGAAGAGGGGACACATGTTGATGTAGAAGAGACATGAAGAAGAGGGGGACACATGTTGATGAAGAAGAGACATGAAGAAGAGGGGACACATGTTGATGAAGAAGAGACATGAAGAAGAGGGGACACATGTTGATGTAGAAGAGACATGAAGAAGAGGGGACACATGTTGATGTAGAAGAGACATGAGGAAGAGGGGACACATGTTGATGTAGAAGAGACACGAAGGAGTGGATTTTGCAGAATAGGTGACCTTTAATATATAATACTGTTTTTAACACTTTAATTGAAAAGTATCAAACGTTTTTTTACATTATTTTATGGGCAAAAAGTTTTTGTTGGTGTTTATTCTTGGGGTAAACATATCAGTGTAGTAGGTTGTAAGATTTGAAAAATGAATGTCATTGTAAAAATATGTATAAAAAAAAAATTCATACCATATAACACCATGTGCAATATTAGGTTAATGTCATAATCTCATAACATTTGCAGTTTTAATATTTAACCTAATTTTATTTAGTACAATGAGAAATGAGCAATTAGTATTAGTTGTTTTTAGTATTTGATATTTAGTATTTTACTTGAATGTGCAAAGTGACTTATCACCAAATGACTTGTCACTGTCACAGGCTGCTACCTATTCTCTACTGGGGCACTGTAATACGTTACTTTAAAACTTTGTATATTGAGCTATTGTATATTGCATACTTCTCTTAAAGGTAGGGTAGGTACGTTTGAGAAACCGGCTCGAGATACACTTTTTGTTATATTCCATGGAATGCTCTTAACATCCTGATAGCAATGAATATCCGAAGTGCTTTGACAAAAAATCCATAAAAAATGTCATCTGTGGAAGCTGTAGTACTGTAAAAAGCACGACCAATCATCTGAGCCGGCCCGGCTAAAATAACTGGATGGCCTACCTGCCTGTCAGCCTTCCATCTGTGCACAAACTTATCTCGTGCCCTCATTGGTCATGTGCGCGTTCGTGTGTGTTGGAGGAGGGGCTCTGTAAGGAAGTGGCAGATTTTCTCCGGTTGTGTATTTTCAAATTCTAGCGCACTCGAGCCGGTTTCTCAAAATTACCTACCCTACCTTTAAGATGTATCTGTATTATCTGTATTGTAATTTTGGAGCAACCTGGCAAAAATAATTTCCTTCTGGATTAATAAAGTTCTATCTAATCTAATCTAATATGTCGAACAAATTGAAAGACAGTTATAGTAAAGTATGACTTTTTGTTGACATAGTGGTTATATGTCGATTCACTTTCCTGTTGTCCTCGTGTCAAATTGGACATGTTTCCAAACGTTTTAATGTCCATAAAAAGGTTTAATCTGTTAGTGCCAGATAATAACATGTTTGCTCGTACACTAAAGAAGTATGATCACTTTCAATAGGTGTTGGGTCAGTCTTCTGGGGTCAGTTTTGTAAAATAATTCAACATTTATTCCTTTTTTAACCAAAACATTTGTTTGGATTTTGTGTAAATGAGGTCTAATGACCAGACATTTCAAAAAGAAGAGTTTAACTTGAATAAAGCTGCTTTAAAACCAGGACTTTGGTGATTATTATAGAATAGTTTTGTATTTCCAAATATTTGAAGATAAGTCATGGTATATGTTGGGGAAATATTTCTCAAGGCCCATAACTTTGACCCGGTGTATCAGTTCAAACGGTCCTGACTGAGCACACCTGTAGCCTGGGCTGCTGTGCTCTCAGTGTTCTGTCTCCCTGTTCCTGCCTGTTGGCGTCAGCTGATCGAGGTGTTATGATGCTATCTCGTTATGCACAATGTGGATGATTCTCTAACTAGCTAAATACACGGGTCTGGGGTAGAGTTCTTCAGACTTGACGTGGCAACTCTACCGTGAAGTCAGAACCTCTGGCTCTTTGACTTGTTTTGTGAATTCTCCGGCCGAAGCTCCTAATAAACCCATCAGTGTTTGACATCAAAGCTCCAGCTCTCCCCGCGTCTCCTTTGAGTCGGTGACTCCTCCTGCATTGCTACACAGACGTTTCCCCCACAGCATAGGAACCTTACCTTAAAGCTGCAGCATCCTCAGTTGAGTCCTTGATTCCTTATCTAACGCCCAAACAGTTTTAAATGTGTGATTGCTCAATAACAAATGCTAATGTGACGGCTGATAACTCATTCATCAACATGGATCAGTCCAATACGTGGAGTGTAAACAGGTGATCAATAAACACAAACACCAACTGGAGTGAATGGGCTCCACAGACTTTAATGCATCCTAATAACTCACTAACTGTACATGACGAGCATACAGTCGATCCATGTGCAACACTTAGCATTTTGAAATATGAATGGAGTCTGTCCTGGATACAATAGCAGAGATATAAATACAGTTCATGTCTATTGGACTGTGTTTTTTAAAATCTTAATAACTCAAAACGTATAAAAGTTATCATAAGAAAAGTCATAGCACCCGTCTAAAGAGAGTCACGGTGAAGCATGAGACCTGGACACTAAGAGCTCATCACTGATGTATGAAAATACCTCCATGGAATTAGCTTAAATGGGTTTAAAGTGAGGGGGGGGGAAGGCACAGAAGAAGCAGAAGAAATAATAAAAGGTTTCAGCACTCGCACCAAATAATTACAAGTCAACGCGGACCTACTGTCATGAGAGGAGACTCAGAGGAAGCTCAGACACATTTCATATTCATAAAGCAAGCAGAGGACTGGAAAAATACTATGCAGGTACTAAAACTACTTTATACGACGGACATATTGTGTATATATTTTGTAAATCGATGCAAAAATAGTCAGAAAGTCGTTCGCTTTCATCACTTTTTCAATGCCATGCTTTTATCTTAGCATTTAGAAGCATTTTAAACAGCTGGTCCAACGCAGGATCCTCATCCACTCTGACAGTTCCTCGTCTCTTAATGAAGGGTAAGGGACTCTTGTAGTTCATATGCAATGCATTATGGGAGTTTCTGTGCTGTGGCTCAAGGGGGTAATACGTAGTGGTTCAATCCCACCATCTGCAGACATCATGTCAAAGTGTCCTCGGGCAAGATGTATGTATTGATGGACAGATAGCTGATGTCTTTATCCAAAGCAACACTTCAATATGTCAGGGGTGTTTCGAGAAAGATATAGTATGAGTACCGAGGCGCTGATCTTGTTTATAAGATTAATTCATTCTCATGACGCCTGTTTACAAGATGTCTCCGTGGACGTAAACAACAACGTGCCGTCAGAGCTCCGTGAAAACAGAGCCGTCAGACGCTCTGTTTGATACTCATATTTCTGAAGTCATTATACAGTTTTTGACGAACAGAAATATAGTTTTCTGTTTGTAACTTTAACATTTTACGGGAAAATCTGCATTTTGGTTTGAGGGCGCACGCCGAGAGAAAGAGGGCCTGATTACATGTGCTGTGATGTCCCAAAAACTCATAGTATAGTACGTCAAAACATTTGAAAAAAGTCCTAGTTTATGTCGATTAAAAAGAAAAATCTAAGAATAGTATCTTAGAAGAAAAAAGGAATAATATTGTACGTTGAAAATATGAAAAAAAGTAATTATATAGTAACAAATAAATTCATAATTTTGTATGTCGGAAATATCAAGATGTCATAGCCGACAAAATGAGAAAAAAATAATTGAACAGTATGTGGAAATAATAATAAAGTCATAATATTGTAAGTAAAAAAAAATCATAGTTTAGTATGATGAACGAATAAATATGAAAATAAATTGTAGAAAAGTATGACAAAATAATAGTATATCACGTCAAAAAAAGTAAATATGTCACAAAGCTGGTCGACCAATCAGAGGCTCCAAACTGCCTCTGTATGTCTGCAGCATTGAAGTGTATGGAGGTCACTTTGGATAAAAGCACCAGCTAAATATCATAATGTAATATATAACAGCCCTGCAGCGAGAGAGGGGGGTAAGGCAGAGTCGTGCTTCTTAAATCTGGGGGGGTTCAGAGAGCGTTTTGGGGGTCCAACTGCTGGTGTGTCTCCTCGTTTAGATCCTGATGCATGATGGGAGGCAGCAGACCTAAAGCTGGGAGTGTCAGTATTCTCTACCTGCTCTTAAAGGTCCCCTATTATACTGTGTTTCATCATTATATCACAGGTCTCAGATATATCCAGAGCATGTCTCTGATTGGCTGAAACAGCAAACAGATCAATGCAGCATTACCCATAATCCCCTCTGTTTCAGCCCTGTTTCCAAAGTGCTGATTCTCTGTCTGTTACTTTAGATGAAAATAAGGAGCCCCTCCCCACGCCCCTCTGAGAGACATTTGGTTACAAAGAACACAATGGTGCTCTAGGAGGAGATTCAGGTGATAAGGTGGGGGGGGGGGGGACACATGTTGATGTAGAAGAGACATGAAGAAGAGGGGACACATGTTGATGTAGAAGAGACATGAAGAAGAGGGGACACATGTTGATGTAGAAGAGACATGAAGAAGAGGGGACACATGTTGATGTAGAAGAGACATGAAGAAGAGGGGACACATGTTGATGTAGAAGAGACATGAAGAAGAGGGGACACATGTTGATGTAGAAGAGACATGAAGAAGAGGGGACACATGTTGATGTAGAAGAGACATGAAGAAGAGGGGACACATGTTGATGTAGAAGAGACATGGAGAAGAGGGGACACATGTTGATGAAGAAGAGACATGAAGAAGAGGATTTTGCATAATAGGTGACCTTTAGGACAAATCATTCATCCCCTCTGCACTCAGACTTTTAAATTCTTGATAGGTTTTTTAACTTGATTATTTATTTACTTATTTATTTTGATGCTATGAACTATTTATGGTGTAAATTGGAATGATCCACATCCAGGCTGTGTGCTTTCTTCCTGCCTGTGTTCATGACATAAGCTGCTCATAACCAAGTGCCCCTTGCAGGATTAATAAAGTTATTGATTGATTGATTGATTGATTGATTGATTGATTGATTGATTGTTTCTCCCTCTCTTCTACTCGGGCTGCGGCGCCGGCGTCTCGTTGGCGTTGCTGTCGGTGATTTTGTTTTCCAGCTCGTCGTCAGATAGCAGGTCTAAAGACGTCCCCTCCACCTGAAGAGGGCGTCTGGAGGGGCGGCTGGAGGAGAAGGAGATGGGACCTCCACGCCTAGGAGGAGGAGAAAATACAATTATTAAAATACAAAAATATGATTTATTCAGGGTATTTATGTAAGGGATAATGTGCAGCGAGGCGGTCATTATTTACACATTTATTATGTTTGTGGGGTGGATAAGAAGTCAGTGGGGATCTCTTCTAAAATCAATCATCATGTCTCTGGTTGTACTTAAGTTCAGTTGTAGATTCTCTTCACCTGTGTGTGTGTGTGTGTGAGTGTGTGTGCGTGTGTACCTGAGGCGGTTCTTCAGAGTGTGCACTTCGCGGCTCAGCCCCTCGCTGGCCTCCGTGGCGTCGTCCAGTTCTCTCTGCAGTTTCCTCCGGGAGGCGTTGGATCTTGTGGCTTCCTCCTCCGCCTCCTCCAGCTGCCGCTTCAGCTGCTTCATCCGGGAGCCCGCCTTCTCCACCTACACACACACACACACACACACACACACACACACACACACACACACACACACACACACACACACACACACACACACACACACACACACACACACACACACACACACACACACACACACCACACACACACACACACACACACACACCACACACACACACACACACACACACACACACACACACACACACACACACACACACACACACACACGGCAGCAGGGTCCGTTGAAGTTAAACAAATGCTTAGGGGACTAAGAGCTAACCACGTTCTAGCAAATGTTTTTGAGGAACGACAGTTATTGTGGGGGTCCAAACATTTAGTCACAACGTCCACAATGTCACGTACTTGTTCCTTAAACTGGTCGGCATGGCGACGCTCGTCCTCCACCTGCATGCAGATTTCCTTCAGCTTCTTCTCCGTCCTCCTGACCGTCTTATTGGCTGCTGCTCGCTCCCTGCAGAGGAGGAGAAAAAGGAGGAAATAAATGTGTTGCATCCACCTCGTTGATATATCCTGATCCGTGATTGGACGGAGTGTTTTGGACGGTGTGATTGGACGGAGTGTTTTGGACGGTGTGTTTTGGACGGTGTGTTTTGACGGATTGTTTTGGACGGTGTGTTTTGGACGGAGTGTTTTGGACGCTGTGATTGGACGGATTGTTTTGGACGCTGTGATTGGACGGAGTGTTTTGGATGGAGTGTTTTGGACAGAGTGTTTTGACGGAGTGTTTTGGACGGAGTGTTTTGAACGGAGTGTTTTGGACGGAGTGTTTTGGATGGAGTGTTTTGACGGAGTGTTTTGGATGGAGTGTTTTGACGGAGTGTTTTGAACGGAGTGTTTTGGACGGAGTGTTTTGAACGGAGTGTTTTGGACGGAGTGTTTTGAACGGAGTGTTTTGGACGGAGTGTTTTGGATGGAGTGTTTTGACGGAGTGTTTTGAACGGAGTGTTTTGGACAGAGTGTTTTGGATGGAGTGTTTTGGACGGAGTGTTTTGAACGGAGTGTTTTGAACGGAGTGTTTTGGACGGAGTGTTTTGAACGGAGTGTTTTGGACGGAGTGTTTTGACGGAGTGTTTTGAACGGAGTGTTTTGAACGGAGTGTTTTGGACGGAGTGTTTTGGACGGTGTGTTTTGAGGGAGTGTTTTGATGGAGTGTTTTGGACGGTGTGATTGGACGGTGTGATTGGACGGTGTGATTGGATGGTGTGTTTTGGACGCTGTGATTGGACGCTGTGATTGGACGCTGTGATTGGACGGAGTGTTTTGGACGCTGTGATTGGAAGGTGTTTTGGACGGAGTGTTTTGAACGCTGTGATTGGACGGTGTGTTTTGGACCGAGTGTTTTGGACGGTGTGTTTTGAACGGAGTGTTTTGGATGGTGTGATTGGACACTGTGATTGGACGCAGTGTTGTGACGGAGTGTTTTGGACGCTGTGATTGGACGCTGTGATTGGACGCTGTGATTGGACGCTATGTTTTGACATTGTGTTTCTGCTCACTTGGCCTCCTGCTCTAGCTGCTCCTCCAGCTGAGCGATCTTGGCCTCCAGCGCGCTGATGGAGGCCTTGAAGCGGTTCTTCACGGTTCCCTCCAGTTCTCCCAGCTTGGCCTTCAGATCTTTGTTCTGCCGCTCCAGCTGCTGACGGGCGTTCTCGCTCTTCTGCGCCGCGCTGCGCTCCGCACTCAGCTCCAAGGTCAGGGTGTCCACCTGAGCGGGAAATAAAAACAGCTTTTACACTTCTGCAAAACGTCTTAATTATGGATTATCTTCTTGTTTTTTCGTTGAATTTGGTTTGTGTTTTTTTTTAGGGTTTTCAAATTCTAATTCAAAGGTGTTATTGTCATTTGCACAAAGCTACAGAGTAGAAATAGCAATGAAATTCTTCTGACCCGAGCTCCTCCAACAACATATATAATAAAATACACAAATAAAAAATAAAAAATAGTGCAAGAAGTCTTTATACATGTCAATAGAAGATGATACGTACAAGAACAGAATATGAAATGAAATAATGTACTGTATTAAGACAAAATTAAATACGGTTTATTGTGGTGATAACTATTTATATAAATAAGTAGTGTGTTATATATATATTATATCGTTTTGGTGCATGATAATGGTCTGCAAAGGCTAAAATCCCAGTGTTACCCCCAGAGGGAGTTTCTCTCCTATACACCCCCCCCCCCCCCCCCCCCACACCTGAAACGCCTCCATTGGACTCCTTTGTTTACTTCCGAGACATAGTGACATCACTATCGAACACTCACACTCCTATTGGCTAGCGCACCAACATATTGTACGTGATAGGCTAAGGGGCGGGACATCTCTAAGCGATTGACCAATCACAACATGTGCTAACTTTTACGGAAACCTTCATTGAAGCACATTTATAACGAGGCTTTTAACATTAGTTGAACATGACATTTTGACATTTCTATATGTTTTTATATGTTTCTAGTTATTGTGCTTTTTAATCTTGTTTTTAATTATTGCTTTATTATGTTACCGTGTTATTCTATTTGTTCCCTGTACAGCACTTCTGTCAACTGTTTAAATGTGCTGCATGAATAAAGATTGAGATTGAGGATCCCTCCCATATGTATTATTATATTTAACATACTGTGCTGTGATGCAAGGACAGGATGTGATGACTGCTGTTAATTAGTATTCTTATGTGCCCCCACCTGCATGTTGGTCTTCCTGAAGCGGTCGTTGAGCAGCTCCATGTTGCCCTGCTCCTCCTCCAGCTCCTCCTCCAGCTGAGCGATGCGAGCCTCCAGCCTCCTCTTCTCCTCCATCAGAGCAGACCTGACACACAGACACAAATACGTTTCAAAATGAAGAGGCCTTCACTGCATGCGAGGGTCAAAGTATTCAAGTTTCAAGGCTTTATTGTCCTTTGAACAGCTGCTACAGTGTAGAAATGTCAATGAAACATTTATATCTCAGGCTCCTCCAACAGAGCAACATGAATATATATAGGACATAAAACAAATAAAACAGATACAATATCATCTAAAAATAGGTTTTCTGATTTGTTTTGTTGAGTGATTGGTAGTTTTCATGTGAGGTATTGCTCGCAGCAGTCAGGATGAAACTCCCTCCACGCCCTGAGTTGTTGTTGTTGTTGTTGTTTACTCACTTTCCAGAGGTGCTGTTGGAGATCTCGTCCTGCAGCTCGTCTCGTTCCTGCTCTGCGTGACGACGCCCTCTCTCTGAGGCTGCCAGGTCCTGCAGACAGAGGTCAAAGGTTAAACACCAGCACTTTATTTCTGTATCAGCTAATATTGAGAGGTACCATTCAATTCTTAAAATAGTTTTCTAGTTGTGTTTTTTAATGTTTGTTTAACTTTTATGTACGCATCAAGTCAAATTCCTCGTACGTGTCAACCCACCTGGTGATAAACCTGATTCTGATGCTCTATCATAAATACACAATAAAACGACCAACCAGTGTAAGGGTTGGACAGATTAAGCACGTATTTATGTTTGTAAAACAATGTGCCATGACAGAATTCAGTTGTTGAATATTATTGAAATGAATACCAACGTTTTTGTACAGTTTTGTATATTTTGATATAGGTCGACTAAGCTAAGGTAATGTTTCTGTTTGCTGTTATTTAGTAACAAAGTGCTTTATTTTATTATATATACGACAGGTGGGACAAAAAGAGCTTTTAAATGACAGTATGCTGGTAGTGTGCAATCTCAATGCAATTAAAAACCGTGTTTTCGTTTTTGTCATGCATACTGTATGTAACCTTTAAGAATCTTGAAGTATTGTAATCTTTGTTAAACGGATATTTTAGGGGTCTTTAAGAGGATTATTATACAATTAATGTGTGCATTTATAGCTATTGCATATACTACTAAATCATCCGGCAGGTAGTTACCAGAAGGGATGTTTCTTTTTATGGAAATCTCCTGCAATGATGCTGAAATACACTTTCAATGTAAGTAGTGTCGTAGAAAATGGTTGCTTAGTGTAACCGACTATAAGGAGAGATCTCCACTCTCTAACCCTCTGCATGTGACACAACAAACACACCTCATGCAGCTGAACGATCTCCGCCTCCAGACTCTTCAGCTTCTTCTCGTTCTCCTTGGATAAAGCGAAGATATCATCTCTGGAAGCTCGGGCGTCCTCCAGCTCCCTCTGGTAGTCCTTCATTTGGGCCTGAAGGAGGGGAGATACAGTACATAGTTTCAAGTTTCAAAGCTTTATTGTCATGTGCACTTTAGCTACAGTTTAGATATGGCAATGAGAAACTGAAGTCCCACGCTCCTCCAACAGAGCAACATGAATTTATGTAGGTCATAGAACAAATACAACAGATACAATAGGGCAAGAGAAGGAAATAGTTCTTCCATTGGGAGCCGTTTAAAACATCAATATCAAAAGTCAACTTTATTTATTGTTTCCCACAATCCAGAGGAATACAAAAACAAATATATATACAAATATGTATATATACACAATCAACAGACACATGTGTACATATGCACACATTAAGACATCAATAAAAACACAACAATCCTTATATACAAAATAACAGTCACAGAAATGTAGTGCAATGAGACTGTCCATAGCAGCGTGGAAAGTGTGTGTCTGCATGGGTCGAGAGGTGAATGTTACCTGTAACTTGCGCAGCTGCTTGATGGCTTCGTCTCTGGCTTTGTTTGCTCCCTCGATGTGACCCTCGATGTCCTTCAGATCCATCTCCAGCTTCTTCTTAGCCGCCACAGCCAGAGCTCTCTGCTTCCTCTCGTCCTCCAGCTCCGTCTCCATCTCCCGCACCTGAGGAGGGGTCAGATTAAACTTTTACTAAACTGCTTCATATCGTGTCTAAAGCGCTTCAATAGTGTTTGAGTTTATAGATTGTTTTATCTTCACGGTCTACTGTATCTTTTCTACTTTTTAATGCTGTTTTAATTCTATTTTGAGATGTTTAAATTCTAGATTTGTTTATTTCTACTTATGTGCAATGCCTTGTTTTGTTTTGTTGTTTTATTACGCTGTGGCAACGCAACGTTTCCCAATTTGTGATCAATAAAGTATCTTATCTTATCTTAATGACCCAAGTAGTTGTATCTGTATTTGATTGCGTTGTGTGCGTTCTGGACCTAAAGGAAACAGCTTGGATCCTGCTGAGGATTATATTCAGACACAACGACATGCTGACTGCAGTGGGGTTTGAACCTGTGCTCCCCTGATCCCAACACTAACGCACTAACCCACTGCGCCACAGCCTCCCTTTATTGTGCTCTGTGTAAACGTAACGTTGGGATTATAGAGAGGAAATTCTTGCTTTTCAGTTTGTCTACTCATGGTTGAATGCACTTATTGTACGTCGCTTTGGATAAAAGTGGCGGCTAAATTAAATGTTATATAATGGTTGTGTATGCACTGTAACAATATCCATGCTTAAAAATGCTAATTAGAAAAAGTAAATCAAGTTTTTAACCGTGTTGACATGCCTATATGGTATTTTTAGTATATGCTACAAGACATATTATGAGCAAAACAATTGGACAATACCATGACTGACATTGGTACATTTCCTCCTTAAAACTGCTGTTTACAATTGACCTCTTTAAAAAAAACAAGGCAGAACCTGAAACATGAATTCCTCCAAATGTCCAGGCAGGGGCTCTCCTTATCATTTGTATAACAATGCAACAAAACAATGGTTATCAGAGAAGAAGAAACATCTAAATGTCCCCGAAAAATATTCATATTCATGAGTCAAACTCAAGGACCATAAACTACATGTCCCACAATGCATCTCATTTTGTGACACTGAAGAGACTTGCAATTATTTGCCTTGGACTTCTGCTTTCAGACGTAGTTAATTATGAAGTTATTACCCTATCCGATAATAATCCAATGCAGAGGCAATGATGTAATATAATACATTATTTAATATATATTATATATTTATATATGTATATTTTTATATAGTCTTAAAGTTACAACCATAATGCTGATGTGGCCTGCCATGAATTTGAGTTTGACACCCCTGATCTAGAAGCACAGCGAGTTTCAGGGACTAAGTGAAACAACAACCCTCCTAAATATGTGATTTTGTTGAACAGAGGTGAGTTTTAGGGTGTTTAATCAAGGCATGATAGTTTATTTAAGTGTTTCTCTGAGTGTTTCTCTGAGTGTTTCCTTAAGTGTTTCTCTGAGTGTTTCTCTGAGTGTTTCTTTAAGTGTTTCTCTGAGTGTTTCTTTAAGTGTTTCTCTGAGTGTTTCTCTGAGTGTTTCTTTAAGTGTTTCTCTGAGTGTTTCTCTGAGTGTTTCTTTAAGTGTTTCTCTGAGTGTTTCTCTGAGTGTTTCTTTAAGTGTTTCTCTGAGTGTTTCTCTAAGTGTTTCTCTAAGTCTTTCTCTGAGTGTTTCTCTGAGTGTTTCTCTGAGTGTTTCTCTAAGTGTTTCTCTGAGTGTTTCTTTAAGTGTTTCTCTGAGTGTTTCTCTAAGTGTTTCTCTGAGTGTTTCTCTGAGTGTTTCTTTAAGTGTTTCTCTGAGTGTTTCTCTAAGTGTTTCTCTGAGTGTTTTCTCTGAGTTTTTCTCTGAGTGTTTCGTGTTTCTCTGAGTGTTTCTCTGAGTGTTTCTTTAAGTGTTTCTCTGAGTGTTTCTCTGAGTGTTTCTTTAAGTGTTTCTTTAAGTGTTTCTCTGAGTGTTTCTCCGAGTGTTTCTCAGAGTGTTTCTCCGAGTGTTTCTCCGAGTGTTTATCCGAGTGTTTCTCTAAGTGTTTCTCCGAGTGTTTCTCCGAGTGTTTCTCCGAGTGTTTTTCCGAGTGCTTCTCCGAGTGTTTCTCCGAGTGTTTCTCCGAGTGTTTCTCCGAGTGTTTTTCCGAGTGCTTCTCCGAGTGTTTCTCCGAGTGTTTCTCCGAGTGTTTATCCGAGTGTTTCTCTAAGTGTTTCTCTGAGTGTTTTCTCTGAGTTTTTCTCTGAGTGTTTCGTGTTTCTCTGAGTGTTTCTCTGAGTGTTTCTCTGAGTGTTTCTCTGAGTGTTTCTCTAAGTGTTTCTCTGAGTGTTTCTTTAAGTGTTTCTCTAAGTGTTTCTCTGAGTGTTTTCTCTGAGTTTTTCTCTGAGTGTTTCGTGTTTCTCTGAGTGTTTCTCTGAGTGTTTCTCTGAGTGTTTCTCTGAGTGTTTCTCTAAGTGTTTCTCTGAGTGTTTTCTCTGAGTTTTTCTCTGAGTGTTTCGTGTTTCTCTGAGTGTTTCTCTGAGTGTTTCTTTAAGTGTTTCTCAGAGTGTTTCTCTGAGTGTTTCTCTGAGTGTTTCTCTGAGTGTTTCTCTGAGTGTTTCTCTGAGTGTTTCTTTGAGTGTTTCTCCGAGTGTTTCTCCGAGTGTTTCTCCGAGTGTTTCTCCGAGTGTTTCTCTGAGTGTTTCTTTAAGTGTTTCTCTGAGTGTTTCTCTAAGTGTTTCTCTGAGTGTTTCTCTAAGTGTTTCTCTGAGTGTTTCTCTGAGTGTTTCTCTAAGTGTTTCTCTGAGTGTTTCTCTAAGTGTTTCTCTGAGTGTTTCTCTGAGTGTTTCTCTAAGTGTTTCTCTGAGTGTTTCTCTGAGTGTTTCTCTGAGTGTTTCTCATCACCTGTTTGACGAGCGCTCTCTTCTTCTCTTCGTTCTGCTCGTCCTTCCCGGACAGGTCTCTCTCGTACTGAGCCTTCATGGCCTGCATGTTGACCTCCAGACGCAGCTTGGCGTCCTCGGTCCCCTGCAGCTCGTCCTCCAGCTCCTCCAGCTGCGTCTTCATCTCCTCCAGCTGCTGGTCCAGAGTCCGCTTGGACTTCTCCAGCTCGTGCACCTTCATCACCAAGAGGAGGAGATGAGTTTAGTTAGTTTGTTTATAGTGTCGTGGACAGTCCCCATTCATCAGCTGTCACAAATGGGGCAGCTTTAGCCAACATGCTCATTTCCAGCTGTTGTCCAGATGATAATAGACACCTTTTTAAAATCACAATACATTAACAGCATTAGTTATAAAGAAAGGATGAAAGACAAGTAGATAGAGGCGAAAGGATCAAAGAGAACAATAAACAACACACGTTACTACATACATGTCACATACAGCACGTCACAATCACACAAACGAGGGGTCCATGATCACAACATGTATCACACACGCCACATCCAACACAGACGAGTGTGTGTAGGTTCTCAGTGAACCATGTTTTTAAGTGAGCTGTAAAGGTGGTATATGTATGTATGTCTTAGTGGGTAGAGAGTTCCAGTTTTGTATAGCTGTCACCGAGAATGATAACTGACCACAAGAGGGGTGAGACTAATTCATTTACATCGTAGAAGTGTGACACAAGTGACTAATGAACTCACAACTCCATGTGTCTAAAGCAGTATGCATGTTTTTTACCATAACAAAACTAGTGTTGAGCCTCATGTTTTGTATCAGAGGAGGATACAGGTGAGACCAAAATACAAGAACCTGGAGTTATGATTGATTAAAAAAAATGAATGCCTCACCGTGACGCAAAGACTATAGGGCGGGGGGAATTAAGACTGTTAACAGCGTGGTAAAGTAATGCTGTTTGCATCTAATTTCATCTGAAACCGTATGCATTACTGTAACAAAAAGGTCTAATGTTGAGCAGATGTTTTGTTTCAGGGGATAGGCTATAGGTTTTTTCAAAATAACAGTGCCTCAGATTCAAAACTTAATTTTAGCGGCTCAAATTCAGTACATACTATGATATACTATGATCATCTCTCACATCACTTACTGTTTAACAACTTGCTCAAAGCTCACTACCACTACTCTGAACCACCAGAGTCTTTATTGACAACAATGCAAAGTACTAGGGAAGAAATCGGAACATTCCCATCACTGCCCGACACTTAAAAAAATACAAATTGTTAAATGTATGGCCTGTATTGTGAGCCTCTATGTCGCTTTTCTTTCAAAAACTATATAGAAAAATAGCATTGTGTCTAACTGCTGCATTTACAGCTGTGTGTGTTGCTGTCTCTTTTTGAACTAACGACCAATAAAGAAATATCCACTGAATTGTCGCAGCATACCATTGATATTTTAATATTTTAACCCTCCCACACACTCACGTTCTTGCCCACGTCGTCCTTGGAGCTCATCAGGTCCTCCATGTCAGCGCGCAGCTGCTTGTTGCTCCTCTCCAGCTCCTCCTTGGCCTCCAGAGCCTCGTCCAGCGCTCGGGTCAGAGCCAGAGCTTTGGTCTCCTTCTCCCGGGCCTCAGCCTCCGCTCGGTCTCGCTCCTCTGCGAAACGACACGACACGCTCTTCTCCTCGGCCAGAAGCTGCAGAGGAGGAGGCAGAGACAGCCTTTTGTGAGAACTATTCAAAGATTTAGCTCTAATGTCATATGTACAGCAGCTACAGTGTAGATATGGCAATGAAGAGCTTAAGTACAACAGGCAACAACATAAACATATAGAGGACATACATTAGTAAAGTTGAAACACAGCAGCTCTTTTTTCAACATCAAACAAAGACAAATATTGTTGTCTTAATATTTGTCTTTGTTAAATGTTGCAAATGGAGCTGCTGTGTTGCAAGAAAAATGTCAGAATTGATCTGAAAATAAAGTAATATCGTACCGTTTAAAACAAATTAAAAACAATTAAAATAGGGCAAGACATAATATATATATTATTTATATGTTATCTACTTGAAGTGCGTTCTGTCCTGGTCAAACTTCTTCTGCTTCTTCTCCAGGCTTCACACGATCTGAGTACTTCTACTTTTACTCAAGTACAAGATCAGAGTACTTCTACTTTTACTCAAGTACAAGATCTGAGTACTTCTACTTTTACTCAAGTACCAGATCTGAGTACTTCTACTTTTACTCAAGTACCAGATCTGAGTACTTCTACTTTTACTCAAGAACCAGATCTGAGTACTTCTACTTTTACTCAAGTACCAGATCTGAGTACTTCTACTTTTACTCAAGTACACGATCTGAGTACTACCTTCACCATGTATATTAAATATATATATTTATATCTACCTGGTCGAACTTCTTCTGCTTCTTCTCCAGGCAGCTGACGGTCTGCCTCTGGTGGTCCAGGTCCACGGTGAGGTCGTCCAGCTCCTGCTGCAGACGGGTCTTTGTCTTCTCCATCTTGTCGAAGCCGAGGGTCTTCTCCTCCAGACGCTGGCCGGCCAGCTCCAGGTCCTTCAGGAGCCTCTTCTTCGTCTCCTCCAGACCCTCCATGGCCCCCACGTCCTCCTCCAGCTTCTTCTTGCTCTCCGACAGCTGCAGGAACAGCAGAGGTTACAATCAAAAATGACAAAATGTTCTTTATTTCTACATCAGACCCCAACACACTCAAAAGGAGGGGCACAGGAAGTCGTTCAAGCCTTTTGAGTTTCTCTTTTTTCTTTTAACCCTCTCTGAAGTTCCCTTGCAATATCCCTAATTCATTAGTTTGTATATATTATACTCAAAATTAACCTTGTTGAATTAAAATAAATGTTTTAAAAGTGCCACTACTTTGCACACTTATATAATGTAATGAGTATCCTATGCTTTTGCTATTTTGAAATACATTTTAAACTATAGTACATCAAATAACAATACAAAAATCAGGAGAAATGAAAAAAACTAATACTAATTATATGAAATAAAAATAAAAATGAGAAAAAAATGAATAAATTATAATAATAAATGAAAAAAACTAATACTAATTATATGAATAACACCAATAAGAAATAAAAATAAAAATAATGATAATTTTTTTTATAAATTATAATAATAAATGAGAAAACAATACAAAATCTGGTAAAAACAAAATAAAACAATAAAAAATATAAACAATAAACAGTCAACAAATCCGGAAAAACAAATACAATTAATACTGATAATAAAATAACAATCAATAAATCAGTAAAAATATGATATAATAAAAAAATAACAATACTAATAATACTTAATACATAATAATAATAACAATCAAAAAGTCAGGAGAAAAAGGAAAAAAAAATCTCAGGTTTTATTTTATTATTTTATATTTGTGTAATTTGTAGATATTCTATAAAAATATATCTGAAACAGCGGTGTGTTTATTATGTATTCCATCGTGCCTTGTTTACGTGCTCCTGCAGCCAGACTGTCTCTAATAAAGAAGTAGTAAGTACCTGCGCCTGCACGCTGAGCATCTGTTTCTCCAGGTTCCTGCGCGCCTCCTCCTCCTCCTCCTGCTGCTCCTGCAGAGCGCTCTTCTCCTCCTCCAGCTGACGGTTCCTCCCGCTGAGGTTCAGCTTCTGACGCGTCTCCTCCTGCAGCAGCTCCTGCACAACAAACGGTCATATGTTTACAGTTAGATTCACAGGGACAGGGACACAAAGGAGAACTCACGGCTGCAGCTTGAGTTTCTTTCTTATAAAACACATGTTTTTAACTATTTATTTGAATTATCCAGAATATTTTATTTTGTTTATATTTGATATACTTTTTTTAAATGTTTGTATTTGATTTTAAATTGTTAATTGTTTTTCCACTTTTTAAAGTATTTTGAGTATTGTATTTTATGTCTGGTCTCTCTCTCTCTGTCTCTGTGTGTCTCTCTGTGTGTGTGTGTGTGTGTGTGTGTGTGTGTGTGTGTGTGTGTGTGTGTGTGTGCGTGTGTGTGTGTCTCTCTCTCTCTCTCTCTCTCTCTCGCTCTCTCTCTCTCTCTCTCTCTCTCTCGCTCTATATATATCTATATAATGACTCTGTTTCTCACCTGTGTGATTGATAATGATTGTGTTTCTCACCTGTGTGATTGATAATGATTGTGTTCCTCACCTGTGTGATTGATAATGACTCAGTTCCTCACCTGTGTGATTGATAATGACTCAGTTCCTCACCTGTGTGATTGAAAATGACTCAGTTCCTCACCTGTGTGATTGAAAATGACTCAGTTCCTCACCTGTGTGATTGATAATGATTGTGTTTCTCACCTGTGTGATTGATAATGACTCAGTTTCTCACCTGTGTGATTGATAATGACTCTGTTTCTCACCTGAGTGATTGATAATGATTGTGTTTCTCACCTGTGTGATTGATAATGATTGTGTTTCTCACCTGTGTGTTTGATAATGATTGTGTTTCTCACCTGTGTGATTGATAATTAATCAGTTTCTCACCTGTGTGTTTGATAATGATTGTGTTTCTCACCTGTGTGTCCTGCAGCTGACCCTCCAGTCCAGTCACGTCTTTGGCCATCTTGATCCCCTTCCTCTCTGAATCCTCCAGGACAGAGGACACGTTGTCCAGCTCACTCTGGAAACACAGAGGTTTTCAACGTAAATCAAATGCATTTTGAAATATATTCTAATAAAAATGGACAAACAGTAGAATGAATGTATGTTTTAAATGTAATCAAATGATCTGTTAGGGATGCACGATTTGGAAAAAATAACCAAATAGACGGCAATTATTTTCACTGATGTTGCAGATGATTAATGATATTGGAGGGATTGATCACTGCAGTAGTTTGTGTTTACCCGCAGTTTGTGTGTTTACCTGTAGTTATTGATGTGTTTACCTGCAGTGTGTGTTTACCTGTAGTGTGTGATTCCCCTGCAGTTATTGATGTGTTTACCTGTAGTTATTGATGTGTTTACCTGTAATTATTGATGTGTTTACCTGTAGTTATTGATGTGTTTACCTGTAATTATTGATGTGTTTACCTGTAGTTATTGATGTGTTTACCTGCAGTTTGTGAGTCCTCTCGGCCAGCTCCCCCTTAGCCTTCTCCCCCTCAGTGACCCGGGCCATGAACTCCTGCAGCTGCGCCTCCACCTTCTTCCTCTTGTGCTCAGACTCGGTCTTGTTCTGCTGCAGAAGCTTCACCTCGCCCAGCAGATCCTTGTTGGCCGTCTCCTGGCTCTGCTTCGTCTTCTCCAGGTTGGCCTTGAACTGATCACGATCAAAAACAACAAATAGATAAATAGATTTGTAGATTACGGACATAATGTTTACCACAACATGAGACTGAGCTGCTCTGTTTAGGGGGATGTTTTGGGTTGAATCAGTTTAAGATTACAATGCTTTGAAGAAGTAGAAGACGACATTCTTTATTGAGATTTGGCATACTGTACATCATTATGGCTGTGTCAATAAAGTTATTTGTACTCTTATGTTACCCTCTTGGCCTGCTCCAGCTGCTCGGTCAGCTCCTCCAGGATGGTGCCGTGTCTCTGCCTCATCTCCTGGATCTGACCCTCGTGGTTCTTCGTTTCCTCCTCAATGTTTTTCTTCAGCTCCGTCACTTCCTGCTCGCGCTTCGTCCTACAGAGAGCAGGGACACCCATAGGTAATGAGCTACAGTAGATGTACTCTACACCACTAGACCCCCCTAGTGTCTCTGATATAAATGTGTAAGGTAGTGTGATGGAAACTTCTGAAGCAATGGAGACTCAGAGAGACACGAGGAGAGCAGGAACTTTTGATGAGTACAAATACTTTGTTACTGTACTTAAGTACATGTTTCTGGTATCAGTACTTTACTCCACTACTTATTTTTCTGACGACTTTTTACTTTGACTTCTTACATTTTGAACACAAATACCTGTACTTTCTACTTCTTACATGTTGAACACAAATACCTGTACTTTCTACTTCTTACATGTTGAACACAAATACCTGTACTTTCTACTTCTTACATGTTGAACACAAATACCTGTACTTTCTACTTCTTACATGTTGAACCCAAATACCTGTACTTTCTACTTCTTACATGTTGAACACAAATACCTGTACTTTCTACTTCTCACATGTTGAACACAAATACCTGTACTTTCTACTTCTTACATGTTGAACACAAATACCTGTACTTTCTACTTCTTACATTTTGAACCCAATACCTGTACTTTCTACTTCTTACATGTTGAACTCAAATACCTGTACTTTCTACTTCTTACATGTTGAACCCAAATACCTGTACTTTCTACTTCTCACATTTCCCAAACAGGCTGGTTCCTTTAGTTTGAATGTGTGTTTGGTGGCGTGATCATTATTATTTAGAGTCATTGCGTGCCTATTGATTTGAACACGATCCGTGTATCCATCATTTCCTGGTCTTCTCTAAAGAAGAGGGACCAATGAAAACGTTGTCATGTTGCCGTTGTTCAGCATGGAAACATTCATTAGCTAACAATGACATTATTGTTCTATTAATATAAAGGGAGGTCAGGTACTCTTTAAAACAGCTGCTAGTTATGGGTACTTTTTACTTAAGTACATTTCAAAGCCCTCTTTACTTTTACTTAAGAAGTTTAGTCAGTACTTCTACTTTTACTAGAGTATTTTTAAACATGAGTATCTGTACTTCTACTTGAGTAAAGGATATGTGTACTCGTGCCATCTCTGCTCTGATATAAATGTGTAAAGTAGAGTTACCTGAGCTCCTGCTGAGCGGCCGTGGTGTCCAGCGTGTCCTCCAGCTCCGTCTTCAGCGCCTCCAGCTCCTCGCTCAGATCCCGCTTCAGTTTCTCCGCTTTGTTCCGGGCGATCTTCTCCGACTCCAGGTCCTCCTGCAGCTCGCTCAGCGAGGCCTGCATCTCCCGCACGTTCTTCAGAGCGTTGTTCTTCTGGCTCACCTCGTCCTCGCCTCTGATGGAGAACAACCAAGAACATGCATGAGAATCTCAGAAGGAAAGTGAGACAAAATACTGAGATGATGGGAAAATAAAACCTGGAAACGAAGGGGCATTTTACCACAAAAATAAGACGTGCCTGAGTTTGTTTTATTAGAGCTGCTTGTTCATTTTTACATATATATGTCAAGAAATACCTATTGAATACATTTTTATACAGTTTTATATGTAATTCATCAAGTAAACATGTCAGAAACAGATGATTTAGGGCCTCTTGAATCCCTGCTTTTCTTTGTTTTATATAATTTTAAACAAATATTTACCCAAAAAGGACATTTAAAATCGTTATCTTGGACTTTGAGAAACTTGGTATGGTCATTTTACACATTTTCCTATTTACCAATCAATTATTTGACAGAAAATAACTGGGAGATAGTTTTAAATGACTGGAAACTAAGTGCAATTTTCCACAAAAATAAGTTTGGAGTTATTTTATTGGTGCTTCTTGTTGAGTTTTACATATATATGTCAAAAAATACCTATTGAATACCTTTGTATTGCTACTTTTTAGTTTATTGATAAATTAATACTATAAAAAAACCCATGTATTAGTCTGAGTGGATGTTGCCTGTGTGTAAAGTCTCCACCAGGTGGCAGCAGACACACAGGTACGTAAAGCAGTTGATGCTTCAGCTGCTTTTTAAAGGACTCTCTTATTAAAGGAGCTCCATGCTGTAAGAATATGTACAAACCAAACACAGAGGGACTCAAAATGAACACATAACCACATTAAGACCACAACAAGACAAACAGCAACAACAGAAACCAACATGAGTCTGAGAGCTACTATCTTATTTTTTTAATCGCCAAATGTTACGTGAGATTTTCTTACGTTTTGTGTTTGATATAATAGACGCAAACATTTTGGCATTTGGACAACAACAACAAACGTGGACTTTGAGACACATTTCTCACTCTTGTTGGCGCTTAATGGACTAAAGGAATAACCGAGAAAGTAACCAAGAGGATTAATTGATAATGAAAATGAAAACAGGTTGACTAATCACTAGTTTGTTGACAAAGTGAAAGTAATTCATCAAGTAAGAATGTAAAAAACAGATTAATTAGGCCTCTTAAATCCATGCTTTTCTTTGTTTTATATAAATTTAAACCAAACATTAAACCAAAAAGGACATTTAAAATCGTTATCAAACTTGGTATGGTCATTTTACACCATTTTCCAAACTATCTTCCTATATACCAATGGATCAAAAATAACTGGGAGATAGTTTTAAATGACAGGGAGATGCAATCTTAACTACAAGAAGATTCAAAACAACGGGGCTCTCCATATGTCTGTGTCCCAGGGCCCATTGTCTCATATGTACATTATTAAAGTCACTGATTACACACAGCAGTGATTCGCTCAAACTTTGTAAACACATTCCCATGCAGTGAGAGTCAGAGGGTGAATACAGACGGCAGGTCAACACGGAGGAAAGCTCCGAGGCTGTTCTGTTTTATTTTATAAGATGATAAGATCAGTCCGTCTGATTGCAGGCTGGATATAAAACAGCAGGTGTCGTGTTTTGTTCTGATGAGCGCTGCGTACAGATATGTTATCCAGACTGACTCACTTTGTGAAGCACAAGCTCAATGACTCAACTTCAGAGCTCTTAAAGCCAGATTTAGCTCACAAAAAATGTTATGTCACACTCATTAGACCTTTTCCAATCCAACCCCTACACACTCCATCTCTAGAGTTTAAATACAGAGGCAAGAAAATCAACATCTCTTTAAAAAACGTTATAATCAAATAAACATGTCTACTATTTTTTCGAACAGTAGACATGTCGTGTCTCTACTTTAAAGAGTCCTCTCCTGCTGATGTTCAGGTGTATATCAGTATGTAGTGTCTCTACTTTAAAGAGTCCTCTCCTGCTGATGTTCAGGTGTATATCAGTATGTAGTGTCTCTACTTTAAAGAGTCCTCTCCTGCTGATGTTCAGGTGTATATCAGTATGTAGTGTCTCTACTTTAAAGAGTCCTCTCCTGCTGATGTTCAGGTGTATATCAGTATGTAGTGTCTCTACTTTAAAGAGTCCTCTCCTGCTGATGTTCAGGTGTATATCAGTATGTAGTATCTCTACTTTAAAGAGTCCTCTCCTGCTGATGTTCAGGTGTATATCAGTATGTAGTGTCTCTACTTTAAAGAGTCCTCTCCTGCTGATGTTCAGGTGTATATCAGTATGTAGTGTCTCTACTTTAAAGAGTTCTCTCCTGCTGATGTTCAGGTGTATATCAGTATGTAGTGTCTCTACTTTAAAGAGTCCTCTCCTGCTGATGTTCAGGTGTATATCAGTATGTAGTGTCTCTACTTTAAAGAGTCCTCTCCAGCTGATGTTCAGGTGTATATCAGTATGTAGTGTCTCTACTTTAAAGAGTCCTCTCCAGCTGATGTTCAGGTATATATCAGTATGTAGTGTCTCTACTTTAAAGAGTCCTCTCCAGCTGATGTTCAGGTGTATATCAGTATGTAGTGTCTCTACTTTAAAGAGTCCTCTCCTGCTGATGTTCAGGTATATATCAGTATGTAGTGTCAGGTCAATCAGGATGATGCATACTTCCTGTTGGAGGACCAGTTTGAATTTATGCCATTGAGCTCCTCTCCTCTTTCTCCTACCTGGTCTGCATCAGCTGCTGCTCGTCCTCCTTCTTCACCAGCTGACCTTTCTGCTCGTCTAGCTGAGTCTGGAGCTCAGAGATCTGGTCCTGGAAGTCGGTGGTTTCCCCGTCCAGCTTCCTCTTCGCCTTCTCCAGCTCCTGACGGGTCTTCTCCTCCTTCTTCAGTCTCTCTGAAGTCGAAAAGAGATTATATGATGGGTTAGAGAAATGTATTTTCATTGAGGATTTGTGTGAAGCAGAACTCCTGCTCTCTGCTGCACTCTCATTTTAACCTCTCACCTGATTGTGTGATTGCACTATCCTCCTTTTAATGCACAATTTCATCGTTGTACCTTTAATCTGAATGTATTTTTTACATGTCGACTGTATGCTATTTTTAGTTTGTTTGTATGTCTTTTACTGACTAACTGTATTCTGTGTGATATCAATGTTCTGTGAGATGTCTATGTGAAGCACTTTGAGCTGCACTTATTGTATGAAAGGTGATTATTATTATTACATTATTATTATTATGTATTGTACTTGAATTCTTTACCTTCCAGGTCGACCATCATGATCTCCTGCTTGTTCTTGACCTTGCTCAGGTTCTTGGCTTTCTCTTCCTCTTCAGCGAGCTTCGAGGTCATCTCGTTGACGCGGTCGTCCAACAGCTTCTTTTCCTGAAGGAGGGAGATAAAGGCAGGTTAGCACAGAGCGGTGCAGTGATGACGTATTTCTGTAGTGGACCCTGAAGGCAGCATCTCCCTGGTTCTCTCCACGAAAAGAAAATATGATTGTTCCATGTGATTTTGTCAGAAAGTAATCTGTTTAACAAGCAAACGTTTATGATTCTTACACGTTTCTCTCCACATATTAACACCACTTTATGATTTCTGAAGTAAAAAGCTAACATTAGGCTATAAAGGAACTACAGCACGGTCACATGACTTCACGTCACCACCGCTAAGCTAAAGGTGGCTAATGTTGGGCTATAAAGGAACTACAGCACGGTCACATGACTTCACGTCACCACCGCTAAGCTAAAGGTGGCTAATGTTGGGCTATAAAGGAACTACAGCACGGTCACATGACTTCACGTCACCACCGCTAAGCTAAAGGCGGCTAATGTTGGACGTGATGACGTTTAGTCGTCTCATTTATACACTTGTTAGCAACCGCCGTTTTTAAATCCACCAGTGGGGTATTTACTGACGTATTTGATGAAGTAGCACAAACATTTCTTCAGCTTTTGTTAACCACAGACCTTATTTTAGGCTAACAACCAAACACACAATTAGAAAACCATTGACTTCAAGATGGGGAACAGGAAGTGCTAACATTATGACTCATTCCCGGGTTTTAGGACTCATTCCTGCCCCTCTCTTCAGCCTGAATGCAGACCCTCACCTTAGTGAACTTGGAGTTCTGGTCCTCCAGCAGCAGAATGTCCTCCTCGTGTTTCTTCATCTTGGCTTCAGTCGTCACTTTCTCCAGCTGCAGTTTCTGCCGGGCGGCCTCCTCCTCGTCCAGCTGCTCCTCCAGGTCCTACACAGGGAGGAAAGACAAAAATTAACAAAATAAATATTTTCATATAAACATAGGTAGTTAAAAGTACATTAGTGCAATGAAACGATAAAATAAATAGCGTGTATATTCTTATAAATATACAGTGGTTTTAACAGTCATATAGGTATCATTCGAAAAAGTCATATTTTGAAGTGAAACCATAGTGTTTCGGTATCCCTCAGCCAGATGTTCACCTGGATGTGTGACTGCATCTTCTTCTTCTCGTTCACGGTGCTCTGGCTCCTCTCCTCCTCCTCCTCCAGACGGGACTCCAGGTCGTGGAGGATCTCCTCCAGCTCCTGCTTCTTGGAGGCCAGACGAGATCTCATCTCCTCGGCCTCGGCAAACAGCTCCGTCTCCGCCTGCAGCTGCTCCGCCAGGATGTTCTTCTCCTCCACCAACTGCACGGACATCAAAACCTCCATCATGCATCCTCGAATAACATCTACATAGTTTGCTTTGGCTGGGGTACCTCAAATTCAAACTCAAAGGTTCTATTGTCAAAGCTACAGTGTAGAAATGGCAATGAAATTCTTCTGACCTGAGCTCCTCCAACAATGCAAAAAGTATATATACATGTAAATAGAATATGATATGTAAGTTATAGCTTAGATATGAATAGAATTGGCTTATTTGAAGCTAATATTCTTGCAGGATGTTCTTCTCCTCCACCAACTAACCAATTAAAAACCTCCATCATGCATCCTTGAAATAACATCTACATTTGGCGGGTGTACCTGCAAGTTATAGCGTAGATATTAATAGATATGGATATTTGGAGCTAATGGTCTTGCCGTTTCGAGTTTGTTTCCTCATGGTTGATTGCACATATTGTCTTGTCCATCTTCCTCGGTTTCTTTAAGCCACTTTAGACGCCTTTTCAAATTGACATTTCCACCGCAATGCATTTTGTGAGTTTAATCCATATAAGATTTAAGTTGTTTCATCGGCACCAACAAAGAAAATGGGCGAAACACGACTTTAAAAATACAAATAAAGAGGCGAAACTCAAATAAAATGATAAGAAAACTTCTTATTGTTTCTTAGATGCAAACAATAACGTTAAACATAACGTTTCTGATTCTAGGTATACATTTTGTTACATACTGTTGACACAACACAAACAAATGGTCTCTATACCTAATAATAATACTGATCTGTAACGTGTGGGTGTGTGACGTACCTGCTGTTGTTTCTTCTCCATCTCCAGCATCTCTCCCTCCACCTTGCTCTGCTTCTCCTTCACCTTCACCAGCTCCTCGTCCTTCGCCTGCATCTCCTCCTCCTGCCGGGTCACCTGCAGCAGAGGCTTCACCTGCAACAGATCAATATGTGGGATATTAATGACCTCTAGAGTCACCTGTGACAAAATACATGTACCAGCATTTTCTGTGAACGTCATCGTGTCTGGGGAACTTTTTATTTTCTTTAATACTCTTTTTATGTCATTTTTGCAAACATTTAGACATAACATACATACATACAACATACACCCGCATACACACTCAAATGTGTGCAGACTAGTTACTGCACATATAACGAACATCTCTCCATGGGTGACAATAATCTCACCTTAATCATGTAGCAAGATATCTACGTATATCTCAGTTTACATACCAATTACTTAAATAAAAGCACAGAGAGAAAATTAATAAGAATAATACATTATAATCCTGATGACCTGAGGTGTGGCCTCAATGAGAAACATCAAATAGAAGGGAAAGAAAAGAAAACAAATATATACTATATAGTAATAATAATAACAAATAAAAAGGGAAGATTTTAATGTACCGGAAAAATGGGGTAAATTCTGGTCAAATATTATGTTTTTATTTTTCTGTTTTTACAGATAGATATCTTTGAAATCCCTTATGATGATTTGCCGTTGAAGCCTCTCCAACCGGAGGCTTTAAAGGATTATAAAATACATTTACCTGAACAACAACTTAAAGGTGGGGTAGGTAATTCACTTCAGAAACACTTTTTGTTATATTCCATGGAATGCTCTTAACATCCCGATAGCAATGAATATCTGAAGTGCTTTGACAAAAAATCCATAAAAAGATGTCATCTCTGGAAGCCGTAGTACTGTAAAAAGCACGACCAATCATCTGAGCCGGCCCGGCTAAAATAACTGGATGGCCTACCTGCCTGTCAGCCTTCCATCTGTGCACAAACTTATCTCGTGCCCTCATTGGTCATGTGCGCGTTCGTGTGTGTTGGAGGAGGGGCTCTATAAGGAAGGGGCAGATTTTTTCTGGCTGTGTATTTTCAAATTCTAGCGATCTCGAGCCGGTTTCTCAAACTTACCTACCCCACCTTTAAGTGATCAGCAGACATGTTTGTGACGTCACAATGTATGAAGAGATTACAACAGATTAGATCATTTTCATAGAAGTAGAGTATATATTTAAAAGAAATCATGACAAAGCAAAACTGTGACAATTTACATGAATTAGACTCTAATATGAGCTTTTTGAACCTTTTTAGAAAGATAACACTTCATTAGACCTTTCATCTCAAAAGATTTAAGGCCACTGGATAAATATGAGTGGAATAAAGATTCCTAAAAAGTGAAAAAAAACTTTAAAGGCCCTCGACTTTGACGAGGTAGGATGGCGCTGTCCTCCATCGTTGGCGTCTTGTTTTATCAATGAGAGCTGCGGCGCTGCTGACTCTCTTTCAGAGGATTTGTGATACACTTCAAACTTAGGAGGATCTATTCTTACCGGACATTATTAGTAGAGAGATTTGTCTAATAGATTTTGCATAAAACCTGACATTGAACAATGGAAGCCTCTCTAACGGAGCGCTGTTCTCACAGTGTGGCGACTTGTTTCTTGTTGCATCGATGAGAGCGACTACTGCTGACTTGTAGGACTTCAACTGATTTGTTTAAACACTGACATGCACACACACACACACCTTGGTGAAGAGCCTCCACCACTGCCAGTGTTTCAGCTTCAGGTAGGCAGCACAGTTCCTCTGCAGGACCTTCAGAGCACTGAGCTGCTGCTGCTTCTTCGCAAAGGACCTGAAGAAATAAAAAACATTGACATTTATTGCAAAAGTACCCAGTAGTTATTGTGCACATGACAGCAAATTCCTTAGACCAGGGGTGTCAAACTGGATGCTGATTGGTCAATTTCGGACATTCTGCAGTCTGCTATTTTCCGCTAACAGACCATTGCTAAAGATAACTAAGGAGGAACAAGGGGACTATGTGCAGTCATATCAATCCGCAGAAAAAATTCCGGTCAATTTAAGGTGAGAGGTCGCCAAAAAAACCATCATGTGGATCCATGATGGTTAAACTGTTCCCAGTAGAGCACTCAATTTCATCGCGGGCCACATCAGCGTTATGGTTGCACTCAAAGGGCCGGTTGTAACTTTAAGAATATATAAAAATACATATATAAATATATAATATATATAAAATAATGTATTATATTCCATTACTGCCTCTGCATTGGATTATTATCGGATAGGGTAATAACTTCATAATTAACTACGTCTGAAAGCAGAAGTCTAGGGCAAATCATTGCAAGTCTCTTCAGTGCGCATGTCACAAAATGAGATGCATTGTGGGACATGTAGTTTATAGGCAAAGTGCTTCTGTAAAGTGGCATGTAACCGTATAATAAACGTATTTTATTCTTTCCAAGCTCTTGGGGAGCCACATCAAATGAAGTCGGGCCTTGAGTTTGACACCCCTGCCTTAGAGTCTTTTTATACGGGAAGCTTATACAGAAACTAGTCTTAAATGAGGAAGTTCTTAGAAAATGTAATAATTGCCTTAGACTCTTTAAATGTCTTACTTGCGTGCCAGGTATCCGCGGCAGACGGCCTGGAAGTAGATGATGATGTCGGTGATCTTCAGGTCCCGCTCCTCCTCCAGGTGAGCCAGCACTCCGGCTCTGAAGAAGATTTTACTCTGACCGATCCGGAAGAGGTTCAGGTCGAGCTCCAGGGCTTTGATCTGCCAGAAACAGAGAGAGGTGTTGGAAGAAGTACTCAAGACGTCTCACTTCAGTAAATGTAGAGGCACTGCATTCCTCACCATCCTCTCACAGGCCTGCTTTCCGTCCATGAAGCCTTTGGGAATGGCGTTGGGAGTGAGGATCTCATACCTGGACACAGAGCAGAGAGACACGTCAGAATAAAATGATAACACACAAATCATTTGTTCTACTTTTGAAATGTATTATTTATTTATGTTTATATATTTTCTATATAAAGTATAAAAAATGGGAATAAATACTTTATTTATCCTGGAAAAATAGTGGGTTCTGTGACAGTTGCTCCATTTCCAAGTTAAAATGTTCAATAAAAGATAAAAAAATAAATAAAAATACAATTATTTTTAAAAAAAAAAAGACAAATAATACTAATATTTGTTTAAACATAAGAAGTAAAAATTTCCATATTGTAATACATAGATAAAATAATACATAGATAACTGTTTTTATTTACATATGAAAATAATACTTTCATATGTGTTTTTATATTATGATATTTAACGTACCTCTGTCTGAACTCCTGGAAGACGATGCGGTTTGGGAAACCCTGTCTGCAGATACGGATCCCCTCCAGAACTCCATTACACCTCAACTGGTCCAGAACCAGGTGAGGGTCCAGTTTACCAGCCTGAAAAAGAAAAGTTAAAATTGAAATTGATTTGGGTTTCAGTAAAAAAACACCACTGCTAAGCTAATACCTGGTCACATGACTTCACGTCACCACCACTAAGCTAAAGGCGGCTAATGTTGGGCTATAAAGGAACTACAGCACGGTCACATGACTTCACGTCACCACCGCTAAGCTAAAGGTGGCTAATGTTGGGCTATAAAGGAACTACAGCACGGTCACATGACTTCACGTCACCACCGCTAAGCTAAAGGTGGCTAATGTTGGGCTATAAAGGAACTACAGCACGGTCACATGACTTCTCGTCACCACCGCTAAGCTAAAGGTGGCTAATGTTGGGCTATAAAGGAACTACAGCACGGTCACATGACTTCTTGTCACCACCGCTAAGCTAAAGGTGGCTAATGTTGGGCTATATGACGTTTAGTCGTCTCATTTAGACACTTGTTAGCAACCACCGTTTTTAAATCCATCAGTGGGGTATTTCTACGACCTATTTCATGTCGTAGAATACAAATCTCAGCTTGTGTTGTGTCTCTGATTTCAGGATAATAACCAAGAACACAGTTAAAAAACATTGACTTCCAGACCAGGGGACAGGAAGTGAGGAAATGCTGACTCATTTTGGGTTTTAGTATTTAATCCTGCACCACTCTATTATACTTTCTTATTTCTTAAGTGCCTTAAGTGTATTCTATACTGGAGGGACTTCAAATAGTTGTTGCCAAAAACGACTTTAGTGCAAATGACTATAAATCTTCCACTTTGAGTCTCTGTGAGGATCTCCGGTCTCACCCTCTTCTCGTGGTTGGGGATGATGCAGCGGACGAAGTTGGGGTTGGTGTTCCTCAGCGTGGCCATGAGCTTGGACAGCTGCTCCTTGTACAGCTGACCCACGGTCCGGAACATCCCCTTCTTGGTCTTATAGGCGGCACCGAACGCCGTCTCGTTCATCCCCGAAACCTGGTCCAGACCCACGATCCGGTCCACTGGAGAGAAGGAAAACAGAGAGGAGACGATTTAAACAGATCAGTGCAGGTTTGATGAGGCTGGTCCACTGATAAATGGGAAGAATGCATCAAAGCAAAGTGATATTCACATGAATGTAGAAAAGAGAGAGTGCAATATCCAAATCGCAGTACTGTTTGGTTTGAGTTGTTCATCAGCACCAACAAAGAAAATGGGCGAAAAACTCAAGTAAAATGATAAGAAAACATATTTTTGTTTCTTAGATACAACAATAACGCTAAAACTTAATAGGCTAAGGAGTTGGGAATTGTAGTCTTTAATCTTCTATGGACTACAAAGGTCTCCATTTTATTTATTCATAAAAAAGCACTTTTTAGGTACTACTTCTAACACTGTTTATTTTTGCACGCTGCTGCCTTTCATTCAAGTTGTTGGAATAACTAAAAGAGGCGATATTTTATAGTAGGATGAGATGTGTTGGTTTTTACAGCCATGCAAAGCCATAAGGAGAGGTTTGTTTGTGTAGATGTTTGCACAGTGCAGCCAGGACAGCACAGAGGATGAAGAGAAGAGTTATTTAAAGTCACCTGGAGCTTCCTGGAGCCCCGACACATTGTCATAGAAAGAAGCTCTCTGAAACGTCTGAATGTCTGCAGCAGCAGAGACGCACAGAGAGAGAGAGGAAACACACACACACACACACACACACACACACACACACACACACACACACACACACACACACACACACACACACACACACACACACACACACACACACACACACACACACACACACCACACACACACCACACACACAACACACACACACACACACACACACAGTCAGAGAGAGGGGGGAAACACACACACACACACACACACACACACACACACACACACCAGAGAGAGGGGAAAACACACACACACACACACACACACACACACCAGAGAGAGGGGAAACACACACACACACACACACAGTCAGAGAGAGGGGGGAAACACACACACACACACACACACACACACACACACACACACCAGAGAGAGGGGAAACACACACACACACACACACACACACAGTCAGAGAGAGGGGGGAAACACACACACACACACACACACACACACACACACACACACACACACACACACACACACACACACACACACACACACACACACACACACACACACACACACACACACACACACACACACACACACACACACGCTTTCATTGATTAAAGGAGTAAATCAATAATGCATGCATATTATAAAAGCATTGTTATTATTTAAGCCAGTGTTGGGTTATTAGCTAATGGTGTATAGATTTGTCTCAATATTATTTGTGTGAACAGACCATAATCTATGTTTTAATGTGTAGTATTGCATTTTATTTGTATATATTTTATTAATATTTGCAGATCTGTGTGTAATTTCCAGTTATTTAAAAAGTACACATCTTTTTTTGCCTTTATGGAAAGTGTTTTAAAGGTATAGATTACGCATTCACACCTGCATGCACCATCACTGCAGCACTCTGTAGCTATACCGTGTTAATGCATACTGCAGAATATACTTTTGAATGATTAAAAACTCGATGAGTCTCACCATCTTTCCAGAGCTCTCCCACAAACTTGTCCGTCGACTGGTGCAGCAGCGTGGCCACGTTGTCGTTCAGAGGATCCATGTTCTTCATCAGCCATTCATCCGCTTTGTAATCCACCTGTAGAAACACCCAGATCACAGTTATTACAGGCATGGCTTTCAGCAGATTAATTGCAGCAGCGAGTCTTATAGGTGACAGCTAGCTTTGATCCCACAGGCAGGACCAGATGTGCTGAATGTGCTATGTGGTTTAATAAATATAAAAAAGAGAGGTAGAAAGTTCAGAAAATCTGTGAAACAAAATACCGACATGGTCCGAACCATCTTTGGGTTATATCTTATCTTAATATTTAATAGAGTGGTGCGGGAATGAGTCCAGAACACAGAAATTAGTCAGCATCATAGTATTTCCTGTTACACCATCTGTGTGTTTTTTTGGGGTACGTTTGGTTTCAAGACATAAAATATGTCAGTAAATAACCCACTGGTGGATTTATAAACGGCGGTTGCTAACAAGTGTCTAAATGAGCAACCCAGTCTCACGGCATTTCGTGCTATAGTCACGAAATTAATTTAATCTATTGATTCGTGTTCACCAACACGATTTTCGCATTTCTTTCGTGTCACACAGAACGATTTTAAAAGCAATGCATTTCTATTGGTAGTATGTTTCGTGCCTGCACCACGTCTTTTTGTCCGGTCGGGTCTTGGAAGACCGGAAGCTGTGTGGTTCATAAAAACATGTTCTTACTCAATATCTTACCCTAAGCCTAACCCTATCCCTTTTATTTTAAATTGTATAATGTCTGACTTTTTTTGCCGTCAGTGAGGAAAAGAAATGGCTCAGAGCCTCAGAATACTGAAATCTGTATTTTTTGTCATCTTTTTTTCCTTCTAATTTGTTATTATTTGGTGCAGGCACGAAACATACTACCAATATAAATACATTGCTTCTAAAATCGTTCTGTGTCAGAATACTGAAATCTGTATTTTTTTTTATCTGTTTTTCCTTCTAATTTGTTATTATTTACATTGCTTTTAAAATCGTTCTGTGTGACACGAAAAAATTTGCTAAATCGTGTTGGTGAACACTAATCAATAGATTAATTTCGTGACTATAACACGAAATGCCGTGAGACTGTGTTGAAATGAGACGACTAAACGTCATCACGCCCAACATTAGCCGCCTTTAGCTTAGCGGTGGTGACGTGAAGTCATGTGACCGTGCTGTAGTTCCTTCATAGCCCAACATTAGCCACCTTTAGCTTAGCGGTGGTGACGTGAAGTCATGTGACCGTGCTGTAGTTGCTTTATAGCCCAACATTAGCCACCTTTAGCTTAGCGGTGGTGACGTGAAGTCATGTGACCGTGCTGTAGTTCCTTTATAGCCCAACATTAGCCACCTTTAGCTTAGCGGTGGTGACGTGAAGTCATGTGACCGTGCTGTAGTTCCTTCATAGCCCAACATTAGCCACCTTTAGCTTAGCGGTGGTGACGTGAAGTCATGTGACCGTGCTGTAGTTCCTTTATAGCCCAACATTAGCCTCCTTTAGCTTAGCGGTGGTGACGTGAAGTCATGTGACCGTGCTGTAGTTCCTTCATAGCCCAACATTAGCCACCTTTAGCTTAGCGGTGGTGACGTGAAGTCATGTGACCGTGCTGTAGTTCCTTTATAGCCCAACATTAGCCACCTTTAGCTTAGCGGCGCTGAATTTACAGACATTATATTATTTCCATGTTACATTTGACTGACAGCCCAGTACTGTCTAACTGGACCATAAGGTGTTGATTGAATTAGTCTCTGTAACATGATGATGGCTTTTTCTTGGACGTGTTTTTCAGACGTACTATGAAGATTGTTGGATTAGATCGAGACATAATAAGTAATGGACACGGTTTGCAACCTGAGCGGAGGAATGTTGGATCTCCATATGGGTTTCATCAGAATCCTGGAAAAGCGAACTCACTGGTGTTTGTAGTTATTTTCCCCCTCGGTATCACTCAGTAATGCGGGGTTTATTTGATGAAGTTCAGATTTAATGCCGACTTTAGTTTTGAGGACTGGATTCTTGATATTGAGCCGAATCTGAGTTTTGTTCACCTGTTTGTCAAAGCAAGACTCAGGTCCAGATGTTTGGACACAACGCTCTTTGCTTTGTTCATTTAAAAAACGAGGTAAAAAGAGACCTAATTAATCCATCTCTCTTGGGATGATATCAGCTTTGTCCTCTTTACAGATGGAAGACCACCGCAAAAAAGGTGAAAGTTGAAAACCGTCGTTATGCAGCCACATGGCACTATAGAGGCAATTTCACCCCAATGTGAACCAGATGTGGGTTTCCTTCAGCAGCGGTACCACAACTGGGCTTTTGTTTTCAGGCAGTGACCTGACACAGAGCCCGCAGAGGAGCTATATATCCAACACAGTCTCACGGCATTTCGTGTTATAGTCACGAAATTAATCTATTGATTCGTGTTCACCAACACGATTTCGCCATTTTTTTCGTGTCACACAGAACGATTTTAAAAGCAATGTAAATAATAACAAATTAGAAGGAAAAAGACATTTAAAAAAATACAGATTTAAGTATTCTGACACAGAACGATTTTAGAAGCAATGTATTTATATTGGTAGTATGTTTCGTGCCTGCACCAAATAATAACAAATTAGAAGGAAAAAAAGATGACATAAAATACAGATTTCAGTATTCTGAGGCTCTGAGCCATTTCTTTTCCTCACTGACGGCAAAAAAACTCAGACATTATACAATTTCAAATAAAAGGGATAGGGTTAGGCTTAGGGTAAGATATTGAGTAAGAACATGTTTTTATGAACCACACAGCTTCTGGTCTTCCAAGACCCGACCGGACAAAAAGACGTGTTGCAGGCACGAAACATACTACCAATAGAAATACATTGCATTTAAAATCGTTCTGTGTGACACGAAAAAAAGGTGAAAATCGTGTTGGTGAACACGAATCAATAGATTACATTAATTTCGTGACTAATAACACGAAATGCTGTGAGACTGGGTTGATATATCTGTGCCTCGGAGAAAGGGCTTCAAAAAAGACCATAAACAACTTCAGTTAAACAGTTTTGCCCTTGTATTTTTGCATTACTTGTATCTGTTTGTTGTACCATCTTGTAGACATGGCTTCAAACATATACAAATAGTTGAGTACAAAAGAATACATGAGCAATCTGTCCAATCCAATCAATCCAGGTGCACTAAAACTTCAAAATCGATTCATCAAATTGGCACAGTTGGCGTACAAATATGGAAATGTTCTAGTTCAAACTGCTATTTTGCATCCTGTAAATGTCTGAAATGGATTCAGCACCCACAAAACAAACCCAAACCACTCCAATATTGTCCAAATTGGCCAAAAGATGTTGTCTTTAAACCTATTGTCCATACAGGTGATGATGCTAACGAATGCTAATCAACGCAACTTGTGCTAATTTAGCTAAATATGCTAATAGCCAACATATGCAAGTAAGCATTTGGTAAAGTCTTAATGACGGGGACCCTTATTCTACATTTCTAACATAACATTTATGGAAGTCAACATTTCTGGTTCCCAATAGGACAAATAGACTAAAATACCGGCTAACGCAAACAATGCTAAGCTAGTTGTTCAGAATGAGTCTGAAGTACGTACCTTCCCTGCGTAGTGAATGACGCAGAAGTCGGCTTTGTCCTTGAGTTGACGAGGTTTCTGGAACTTGGTGTGTGTTCCCTGCTCCTGCTGCACTTTGTCAATAAAGGTTTTGTCGGTGGCTTTGGGGAACCAGCACTCCTCATCCAGCAGAGCGAGGATACCGGGGGGGTTCGTCTGAGGAGAGAGAAATCAATTAAATATACATTATTTTTAACATGATGATTCAGCCTCTATGGAGATAGACATATGACAAGCATGATCATTTCTGACGTGGAGCTAATCTGAAGTAAACATTGAATACTGCTTTCTATTCCTCCATCTTGTGACTGTGTAACTCCCTCTCTTGGATATCAGCATGTGAAGGACACTGTTCAGGAACTAGTTGATGCTCTGTATGTGATGACTACTTCCATTCTGGAGAGGATCAGAAATACATGGATCCTGATGTTGAAGCTCAAGCCGGAGACCAGGGAGATTTTTCTAACAATTATTATTATTAAAATAAAAGAAGTCCTTTGAAAGCACTGACCGGCCTCTCGATGAGGTCGATGCAGGGCTGCAGGTCCAGGCCGAAGTCGATGAAGCTCCACTCGATGCCCTCCCTCTGGTACTCCTCCTGCTCCAGCACGAACATGGTGTGGTTGAACAGCTGCTGCAGCTTCTCGTTGGTGTAGTTGATGCACAGCTGCTCGAAGGAGTTCAGCTGGAAGGAGGAGAAAAGCAGAGTTAAGATATGGTGACACGTTTTAAATATAAGTCCAGAGGTGGGAAGTAGTGGAGTACAAATACTTTGTTACTGTACTTAAGTACATTTTTCTGGTATCAGTACTTTACTCCACTACTTATTTTTCTGACCACTTTTTACTTTGACTTCTTACATTTTGAACCCAAATACCTGTACTTTCTACTTCTTACATTTTGAACCCAAATACCTGTACTTTCTACTTCTTACATTTTGAACCCAAATACCTGTACTTTCTACTTCTTACATTTTGAACACAAATACCTGGACTTTCTACTTCTTACATATGCTCTTACATAGCCGTAGCGCCACCGTCCTGACGTCAGGACAGTGTTCAAATCTGGATCAGTTTTTATCAGATCCGTTGCAGCCCCTTTTTTAGAGATTTGGGTATGGAGGAAAATAGAGAGGGTTGTGTTTTCTGACACTTGGTGAGTTCCCTGGAACACCGGGGACACATATTCATGTTTAAAAGACGTACACAAGTGCATTTTGCATGATAGGTCCCCTTTAAGTACATTTCAAAGCCCTCTTTACTTTTACTTGAGAAAAGAAGTTTAGTCAGTACTTCTACTTTCACCAGAGTATTTTTAAACACGACTATCTGTACTTCTACTTGAGTAAAGGATGTGTACTTTTGCCAGCAGAGGCTAATGGGAACGTCAGGAAGTTGCAGATATTTGTTCATAAAAGTAGACGATTACAATGGAAAATGAAGCATTAGACAGCTCAATTAATGAAATCCACCATTAGCCAAAAATCCTATATCGTCCAATCCCAAGTCCAAGGCATTCCTCTGGCAAAAAGTTAAAAAAAAAGCCTTGTTAAATCGCTATTTCATGTCGATTGTAACCCGGCTCTCTCTTCACATTTCCAAGCATTGTCTATGATAAGATAGCCAGAAATATCTATCTGATTAAAGGCTTCCAAAAAACCCCAGACGTTTTAGACGTTTCTTGATGTCTTTCATTTTTGTAAAGCACTTTGAATTGCCTTGTGTTCAAAGGTGCTATATAAATAAACTTGCCTTGCCTTGCCTTGTATGAATTGGCTAACCTAAGAGACATTTGAATGATCAGATTCTGTTTAATCCATGCATTAAAAAACCCAATATTTTCTAGAAGCTGGTTTGAGTTTTGTGGAGTTTTCCTCGTATGAAAGCGCCACAATCAGCACCTCAAAGATCTCAAAGCCGGCGATGTCCAGGATGCCGATGAAGGACGCTCCCTGCCGCTTGGTTCGATCCAGAGCTTTATTGATCCGGTACACCAGCCAGCGGAACAAACGCTCGTACGTCGCTTTCGCCAGAGCTTCAACTGCGAAGTCAGCCTGAGGAAAAAACACAGGGTGAGAAAACAGGAGGGATTTAAGACCCTTAATAATGATAACTAGACCATTGAGCCACGGGTGGAGCTTTAGGAATATTAACTAAGGGATTTAATTCAGACAAACCTCTACATTTCAAGCAAATTGTTCTTTACATTAATATCTTTATACATAGTGTGGGGGAAACTTCTGAAGCAATAGGAGTCAGGACTCAGAGAGAGCTGGAGCTTTGATGGCAAACACTGACGGTTTATTTGGAGCTTCGGCCGGAGAATTCACACGACATGTCACGGGCCACGAGTTGACCACACGGTTGAGATGCCACAATCAATTCTGAAGAGCCCTCCTGTAGCTCCAGGTTTTAACTAGTTCAGAGTGCAATAATCAACATTCTTCAATAGATAGACTAAACAGCTGAGGACACTGAATCACATTTGTTGTCGCTTATGGCTCGGGGTCATCTACACCCCGAGAAGGATGTGTTCCAGGTGTCCCATAACAATAACTATCTCTACCGAGAGTTGCCCGGTCACAAACTGGTAACATCAACAACTTGCTAGGGCAGCCCCTCCTTAAGGGAGATAACGGCTGCTCAAGGTTGGTCAGCTGCGAGGGCAAAAGGTAAACATGTAGGGCGAAATTATTCCCTGACACATAGTAATACACCACTGCATATATTGTAATACAAACTTTTTAAATTTTTTTTTTGGAGCAACTGTCATGGAACCCATTTTCCTCCAGGGATAAATAAAGTATTATGATTCTGATGATTTATAAACCTATCTAGCTACACAATGATATCAAACAGCCGTAAAACTAGACCTTATTTGACAGTTCAAAATAAACATGTAATGGAAACCTCTTGATCTCCAGAGTTTAGACGGCCCCCTCACCTGCTCTTTGGTCTGTGCTTTCTGAACGTAGTCTCGTCCCACTTTGATCCTCGGGGTGAGGATGGCTCTGGTGAACTCCATCACGTTCATGCCCAGCAGGTGGCACAGCTTCTGCGCCACTGAGAGGGAACAGGAAGCAGGAAGCAGGTGAATTATCGCTTAAATGGCTCCAGATTTAATTTAAAAAAGCAGATATTGGATTTTATACTGTCTTCAGAGTTGTGTCATGGTGAGCAGAACTACACTTTTGGAGAAAACGTATTAATTTGCAGGATGAAAAATGTCTTCCTCCACTTCCAGTTGTCCATGGCTATCCCAAAACATATGGTTAAATGATTTCTGTAGCTGAAAGTATGTTGAGTTAAGATTTGGAGAGCTATATTGGAAGCGCTGCTTAATCAGCATTCGTACAAATACAAATAAACATTTCTTCTGTCTTACTGTGAGGTGTGTGACCTGATGGTGGTTCAACATTACCACCATTCCAGTATACAGACTTATAATCTCTTCATAACTCCAGTGTTATCATGTTCCTAATACAGCATGTGCACAGTGTGTATATATATATATATATGTGGAAATGATGGTCTGTTTTCCACCACCTGTTGTTGCTGTGGAAGCACAGTCATTCTATTTTCTGGATTTATGAATCATGACCGTCACGAGCGAGGAGCAAATGAGGCTGTAACCATTTTTAAAAGTTAGCACCGCAGCTTTTCTGATGTTATGCTTGTGTCTATTGTTAGTTACAGTACAATAATCTGAAAAGAAAACAGATATATCAACAGTTCAAGTAAGAATCACGGCTGGGAAAGCTCTGATATATACGAGTTGGTGTCTGAATTACTCACAAATGTCTTCAAAATTCATCGTAATAGATAGATTATATATGGACACTGTGTGTTAGCAGCAGGCGAAACAAATATGACGGAGTGTGTGTGTGTGTGAGTGTTTGTGTCTGTGTGTCTGTGTGTGTGTGTGTGTGTGTGTGTGTGTGTGTGTGTGTGTGTGTGTGTGTGTGTGTGTGTGTGTGTGTGTGTGTGTGAGTGTTTGTGTCTGTGTGTCTGTGTGTGTGTTTTCTTGAATGAAGCATTAGACAGCTCAATTAACGAAATCCACCATTAGCCAAAAATCCTATATCGTCCAAGTCCAAGGCATTCCTCTGGCAAAAAGTTTAAAAAAAAGCCTTGTTAAATCGCTATTTCATGTGTGTGTGTGTGTGAGTGTTTGTGTCTGTGTGTCTGTGTGTGTGTGTGTTTTCTTTAACTGTTTACCTGTGTTTTCGGGCATGGAGGCCTGATCTGTGTTCCTCTCTTTCTTGAAGATGATGTTTCCAAACTGCAGCACGGCAGAGACCACCTTCAACAAACCTGTGAGGAGAGGGACATTAGGTAATGACAGAGGGAAGAAAAAGAGAATAATAAAGTACTGGAAACACATCTGGAAGCACTACTCACTGACGATCTCTTCGTGGGAGAAGCTCATGATGTGCATGGCGTCCAGAGTCTCCTGGAAGTTGTCTTTGTCCTGCTGCCCGGGGATCGTGATGTTCCCGTTGTTCAGGAAGCGGTAGTTGCTGAAGTTTTCTAGGAGCAGGTCCGCTGGAGAAGGAAAAGGAAAGACAGTTCATTTTAAAGGTCACCTATTATGCAAAATCAACTTCTTCATGTCTCTTCTACATCAACATGTGTCCCCTCTTCTTCATGTCTCTTCTACATCAACATGTGTCCCCTCTTCTTCATGTCTCTTCTACATCAACATGTGTCCCCTCTTCTTCATGTCTCTTCTACATCAACATGTGTCCCCTCTTCTTCATGTCTCTTCTACATCAACATGTGTCCCCTCTTCTTCATGTCTTTTCTACATCAACATGTGTCCCCTCTTCTTCATGTCTCTTCGACATCAACATGTGTCCCCTCTTCTTCACGTCTTTTCTACATCAACATGTGTCCCCTCTTCTTCATGTCTCTTCTACATCAACATGTGTCCCCTCTTCTTCATGTCTCTTCTACTTCAACATGTGTCCCCTCTTCTTCAAGTCTCTTCTACATCAACATGTGTCCCCTCTTCTTCATGTCTCTTCTACATCAACATGTGTCCCCTCTGTGGAAAGAGACTCTGAAAGTTTCAGGAACAAAGATTCTCTCTCTTTTTGTCCTGATCCATTTCTATAAAAACCTGTCTGAAAATGAGCTAATCAGATTTTGGCCACTTCATAACAATGTTTTGTCTTGTGTAACCATTAGCCAATCAGCAACCAAGGTAACCCCCCCCCCCCCCCTTATCACCTAAATCTCCTCCTAGAGCACCATTGAGTTCTTTGTAACCAAATATCTCTCAGAGGGGCGTGGGGAGGGGCTCCTTATTTTCATCTAAAGTAACAGACAGAGAATCAGCACTTTGGAAACAGGGCTGAAACAGAGGGGATTATGGGATGCTGCAATGATCTGTTTGGTGTTTCAGCCAATCAGAGACAGGTTCTGTATATATCTGAGACCTGTAATATATTGATGAAAAACAGTATAATAGGAGACCTTTAATTTACAACAGTATTTAATTTTACATTTTGCTCTATCTCATTCTATGCTATGTCAAGATGTTCCACATCATCACGAAACAATGCGCTAACGAGCTGAAATAAAAGTTAACGAGGGAAATGAATTGGACGGTGCTGATTTAAACAGGCTTCCTTTGGCCTGAAGCACAAAGACGAAACCCCATTGCTCCTTATAGAGTGGTGAAGGAATGAGTCCTAAACCTGGTCATAAGTCAGCATTTCACCACTTCCTTGTCGCTTTGTCTGGAGGTCAATGGTTTTCTGAATGTTTGACAACAGGGGTTTCTAACAAGTGCCACCTTTAGCTTAGCGGGGCTGACGTGAAGTCATGTGACCGTGCTGTAGTTCCTTTACAGCCCAACATTAGCCGCCTTTAGCTTAGCTGTGGTGACGTGAAGTCATGTGACCGTGCTGTAGTTCCTTTATAGCCCAACATTAGCCACCTTTAGCTTAGCTGTGGTGACGTGAAGTCATGTGACCGTGCTGTAGTTCCTTTATAGCCCAACGTTAGCCTCCTTTAGCTTAGCGGTGGTGACGTGAGGTCATGTGACCGTGCTGTTGTTCCTTTGTAGCCCAACATTAGCTTTTTACTTCAGAAATCATAAAGTGGTGTTAATATGTGGAGATGATCCTGCTGAACTAAACCTGTAAGTATCATAAACGGTTTTTTGATCACATGGAGAAATCCCATTGAACCAGAGAGATGCTGCCTTCAAGGTCAGCTTAAAAAAATCCATCATTGCTGCACTTCTTTTTAACAGATACTCACTTCGGAGATGCTCTCCAGCTCCTGCCAGCAGGCGGTAGAAAATATGGAAGGTCCTCTCATCCTTCGCCTGTCTGATGGCCCTCGACTTCTCAAGAAGATCTGAGAGGAAAGGTTAAGGACTGACCAGGAAATTACAACGAGAAATACTTTATTATTTGTAGTGTTACAAATAAAGTTTGTTTATCAAAGTCATTTCCCAGGAATAAGGATACAAGTTTCAATATTGGCCCCGACGATGTAGCCCGTGACGTCAAAGTTGACTCTGATGAACTTCCCCTGCAGGAAACAAGATGTTAAAAACAGTTGTTAAAACTCAGCTGGTTAATTTAGAAAGTGTATGATGTCAGTGTGTTACTGTGCTGAATGTGTGTGTGTGTGCATCGGTTATTTATTTATTCTACATTTGGTTCCATTTTCAATATCACTTTGTAGATTTTTGCAGGCGACACAGTGGAGAACAAAATGCCTCTATTAGGAAAATCCAGATTACCAGGTCAGAAAGAATGTGAGGCATGTGTGTGGTTTCCTGACAGTGAATGTGTGTGTGTGTGTAAGTGTTTGTGTAAGTGTGTGTGTAAGTGTGTGTGTCTGCATCTGTCTGCTGGTGTTCAGACGGTGATTCATGAGGACTGAACACTGCAGCGGTTAACCTTGGCCACATGTTTGCTAAATCATGCAAAAATCTGAAATGCTTAGAGCTGCAGTTGTTGAAACACATCTCTGCAGGATCAGATAAAGCTAAATATTAAAAGTGCAGCAAAAGTTCTCTTGGTAGGTTTTCCCAGGCCAACATAGGAACAAAATATATATATCATTTTTCAAACATTTCATTTGAAAGAAACAACAACAAAATAGTAGTTTTTTTACCTTTCTTCGGAGCCAGACAAGCTGTTTCCCAGTTTCCATTCTTTGTGCTAAGCTAAGCTAACTAGCCTGTAGCTTCATATTGCACTGTACGCATAAGAGAGTGGTATTATTTTCTTCATGAAGGCTTTACGGTATTGCAATTTTGATAAAATCTCAATTAATGGTTTAGGCAAAACTTATTCTAAAGCTTCAAAGAACCCATGAGAACATCTTGTTTGTAAATTGAGAATACAGAAGCATACGCTGCTCAAGCTTGTGTTGAATATACGGAAATCTCTTATAAGGCAAACTGCACTGACTCAATGTGGAGTTTCATTAAAATATGTATTTTTACAAATGATGATTCGAACAGGAAGAGTGGACTCACAAAGCGAGACGAGTTGTCATTTTTCACCGTCTTAGCGTTGCCAAAAGATTCGAGGATGGGGTTCGCTTGCAGCAGCTGTCGTTCCAACTCGCCCTGTGGAGAAAGACAAGAAGGTAAGAAAGCCAACCATCTGTCAGACATGTATTACATTTGGTATCATGTAAAGAATCCTTTTATCTTCTTGTTCTGCCAAAACATGCGCAAAGCTAAATCAATTAATCACAATAAAGCAGCGAGACGAACAAGTTAGCCACGTCAACAGTGTCGGAAATTACATTTACTCAAGTTACATTTTGAGATACTTTACTTGAGTATTTACGTTTGATATACTTCTACTTCATGACATCTTGGAAGCCAGTATTGTACTTCTTACTTTTCTACATTTATCTGACAGCTTTAGTCACTTTGAAAGTTCATATCTAATACAAATATAAATGAACTAATGAACTATTTATGGATAAAGATACCTATCAGTATAAAAGACATTAAAGGTCCCATGTCATGGCCATTTCTACTGATCATAATTCCATTGTTGAGGTCTACTAAAATAAATGTATATTGTGTAATTTTCCAAACTCACATTGGTTTCTCATACAGCATCTCTGTATAGTATGTGTATTCACTCTCTGTCCTAAACGGCTTGTTGGAGCTCCTGCCCCCCCCTCCCTGTGAGCCCAGTGGCCGTCTGCGAGACAGCGAGACACAGCGAAACCAAGCCTGAAACACACACACACCCGCAGCCTGGCTGGGAGTTTGTGTGTGTGCCCAGGCTGAGTTCCGCGATGTCTCGCTGTCTCGCTGACCCCACACCAGTGAGCCAGCTCACAGTGTCCCGCTCCTCGCAGCAGCGAGCCTCGCAACGTGCCGCCAAGTGTGTGTGTGTGAGGAAGTCCGCGGATTGGTCCAAACGTAACGGCTCCGCGGACATTACGTTACGTCACTATACCCGAAATACGTCACTATACCCAAGAAGTAAACAATGGAAAAAGAGAAATCCCCAACGAGGCGTTCTGGGGCAGCATAGACAGGTCTTTTCTGTGTTAGAGTTTTACTCGCTACAGGGTGTACTTTGGGGGTCTGTGACTCTGCAGACCGTTTACATGCAGAAAAAGCTACATAACACACAAGGGGACGGGTAATAACCGGAAAAGCATGACATGAGACCTTTAAAGTTATCTCCATCTTTACCAGCTGCAGAATTTAAGTGATAAACACACATTATAATGCAATGTTTATTATATAATATCTACTGATAAAGGTTTGGTTATTTACAATAATACTTTTATATATATATAAGTTTTTATTAACGTTTGCTTGCCTTTTTATTTTATATCTAAGTCAACTTTCTCTTCTTTAATTTGCACTGTAATATGATAAATCAATATTTGACACAGTCATTTATCACGTTGGCTCTTCTTGAGTAAACAGCAGGACAGTGTGATTTTTGTCAGAGGGCCTCGACTCGTCTAACGGGCCAACATTACCAAACAGTTTGACGGAGCTCGTGAAACCACAGCGAGTGTTTCCACACATGCCCTATAGTGAGCGGTTAGCTTAGCATTCCTGTGGCTATGAGGATATGGCCTATATTTATACATATACAAAGACTGCCCCACCACACTGGTAATGATGGCTTCCTCCCAAATCTCAAAGCCTGGGTAGATACGCGGTTTGGACACTCCCAAAACCCTCCACTTCCAACATATGACATAATCATGACAGAAATAGACCCTACAGCAAATTAGGGACTTGCAGTGACTCCAGAAAGAAAGAGGGAACAGAGGCGCTAGCTAATGAACAATGAGTCAGCATTTGACCACTTCCTGTTCCTGTCTGGAACTCAATGGACCACCGCTAAGCTAAAGGCGGCTAATGTTGGGCTATAAAGGAACTACAGCACGGTCACATGACTTCACGTCACCACCGCTAAGCTAAAGGCGGCTAATGTTGGGCTATAAAGGAACTACAGCACGGTCACATGACTTCACGTCACCACCGCTAAGCTAAAGGCGGCTAATGTTGGGCTATAAAGGAACTACAGCACGGTCACATGACTTCACGTCACAACCGCTAAGCTAAAGGCGACTAATGTTGGGCTATAAAGGAACTACAGCACGGTCACATGACTTAACGTCACCACCGCTAAGCTAAAGGTGGCTAATGTCTCATTAAGACTCTTGTTAGCAACCTCTGTTTTAAAATTCACCAGTGGGGTATTTACTGACGTATCTTATGTGCCAGCCAAACACAAAACACATTCAAAAAACCATTGACTTCCAGAACAGGCAACAGGAAGTGCTTAAATGCTGACTCATTTCAGGGTTTTAGGACTCATTCCTGCACCACTCTATTGACCAGCCCTACATATACCGCTTTATAACTACAAAACAGTCTCACGTCTCTCTCACTGGGAGAAAATATGAAAGTCTGGACCCCTCTGCTCCGCTTCACCTCTTCTCCGATACTTCACCTCCTTCCCAACCCCTCCACCTTATCTTCCTGGATCCCTGCTCCCACATTCCTCTGGCCTCCGCTCAGTAATGCAACGCAGAAGGAAAGCAGCAATATGGAGGTCATGTGTGGATGATGTACTCTGGCAGGGGAGCATTTACAGCTACTGAACATTAAACTAGCATTCACGCTCAAAGCTGCAGGTCAGAGGTCGCAGCTTAGACCCTGCTTCTATAGTTATTAAATGTAGAGAGGACACAGAAACATCAGGTATTGGTTTAGGGGAGAACGGGGAGTAAAAAAGCTACTGGATAAATCAAGCTGAGGATAGGTGAGCTGGAAAATATCATGTTCTGTAGAGAGCGTCCAACTGGAGCAGTGTGTCAGCATGTGTGAAAAACACTGTGAATTTAAATGTGCAGAACCAGGTATAACTTCCATAAAGCAACATCGTGTCTGGATACCTACAGGACGGCAAAGGCCAGATGTATTGAAGGACACAGTTTGTAATATTATCACAGCTAATGCAATGGAAAAAGCCAATGAATGATTAATTGGAAATGCTCTTCAAACTACTCACATGCATCCAGAAAACATGCATTAATAGATAATAGATATATACAATATTGTGCCGATACTGACTCAAAAAGCTGGATTGTGTATTGGTGACAATGGGACCTGATCTATTCGATTTAATTCTATGTTTCTGCCTGATTACAAATACTACGGCCTGTGTCTGAAGCACTTTCTCATAGATACAGTTTGTTTACTACTACTTTGTGACTTAAATGTGATTTAATGATTACATTTTGTTCTCATGCAATGGTTACAGTTGAATTGTAACTACTTTAAACCAAGTTCATAGTGCATTAAATGTTGTTTTAATAACAAATAACTATATAGAGTGGTTCTTAACACCATGTATGTACCTTGCAGTCATTTAATGTATTCGTCATTGATCGACAAGCATTTTTAATTATCAGGTTCATCCTATCCTTTATGATTTGACTAGTGCTTATAATAAAACGTCTCAATATCCACCTGTTCTAATGGACACAACCCAACTGATAGAAGTGCTTCAGTTTCATAAGCATGCTGGTTTAATGGCTTTTATATAACCAGCTCAAACACATTCCTCATAAAGAGAGGAGCTTAGATTAGTTCGTCAACATCGTTATAAAAGCGGGGCGAGATTTAGAGAGGGCATGCACATGCACATGCACGGACCACACACTCGTTGTTTGTGGAGAAAGCAGAGGGTGAACACTTGCCTGGAGCTTGAATGCTTTGGGAGATTCGGGCTGTTTGTTATGGATAAACAAATGCAAGGGTTAAAAACCTGAAGCGCTCATGTCAGACACAAGCAACAGGAAAGACTGGTACACTCGCAGCATGGGTGAAGCAGGAGGGAAGATATCCTAGGTTAGGTGGGATTAATATCAGCTAAATATGCATCTACATTTTGACTTTTACCACATGTACATTACAATAACAAATGTAATAGTTTGACCTTTTGGGAAAACGCTTTCTGGCTGAGAGTTTGTCATAAAAAGGAAATACTGGGCTACAATCAGATTAAATCTAACTGTAAATATGAACAACATGAACTGTTTGAATGAACATGCAAGAAGAAATGAGAATAAATAAATAAATGAAAGACATGGAGAGGAAAGAGGGAGAAAGAAGAGAGGAAACAAGGAGAGGAGAGACAAGAAGAGATGAGGAGATGAGGAAAGACGAGAGAAAGGAGGGAGGAGAGGAGGCTTGCTGAGGACAGAGGAGGAAGGGAACTCACAGGAATGTTGTGGTCTTTGCGTCCTTTGTGTGAGGAGGCGACGTGGGCCAGATACTGGATCACCTTCTTCGTGTTCTCCGTCTTTCCAGCTCCTGACTCTCCTCTGGAAACAACCACTTTAGTTTCACTCTCAAGAAATAAGTAAGACAACCTTTGTTTGCAATCATGAAAAACGGGAGTTATGAAGCTTAGCGCCATTATGGGGACTATTCTGTTTTAATTTCCTACAATTAAGCAGCGTACAGACGTTACATGATCTTTAATTTATCTAATGCTTCTACCACCTCTGGTCAAAAATGCCAGTGATAGTAATTACGCTGCTCAAACTAATTAAATAGTGCCACTAAATACTGATTAAATGACTCTGTATTAAACAGCAACGTTAAGATTCTTCATCTTCAGAGACTCTTATTTTGAAATAGACTCTTATTTTGTAACACAATTTGTTTCTGTATCCTGTTTTTGCCGAGCGCACTACGTTGTGTTTCGAGAGCAAAGATGTCATGAACATCAACATGTACTACCTGTGCTCTGCAAGTAAAGACTTTTAAATACATCTGATGCCTCTCTGAGTCCTGTAGAGGTCACCAGTTTAAAGGGTCCAATACCCAACAAGCATTACAATAAAGGTTTAACTACGAAAATATACAAACAACGAATAGCTCTAACAGAGGCTTTCATCCAAAACAACTTTCAAAGTACCTAAAGGGGCAGATCACACACTTTTAGCCACGCCTACAGAAGAAATGTTGGTATCTTTCCCAAGGACACTTCAACATACTGACTGAAGGGGCTGGAGATCAAACTAAAGATCCTCTGATCGGAAAACAACCATTTAATCCCACAGCCATCCCAAGACAAATCATCGCAAAACCCCTAACAATACAACTATTCATTGAGGAGAGAATAAACAAAGACAGAAAGATCAGACGTCCATTGGTCGATCTGTTGCTGTTTTCTAAATCCATCCATTGGTCTTTTTCGCCTCTTTTTACTGGAGAGCTGTGGTTTTGTGGGCCAGTCTCCAGAGTTTCCAGGCTCTCTAATGATAGCTGTGTTCATGCTCCCACAGCCCAGCAAACCCAGAACCAACATGGAAACCAGGCCAGCAACACTACATCCACATACCAGTGGCTTTAGTCGAGCTGGTTATTAGCTCCACTGCTCAGAGACCAGATTCAGCTGAAGCACCAGAATATAATGGGCGAGTCCTCCAACATACATATATAGGTCAAATATACCCAGTTTGGCTTGATGTCTTGTTATGATTGATTACTGCAATGCTCGACTTTCTGTTCTCCCTTCAAAGGAACATAGCTCCACTACAACTAGTGCTGAACTCAGCCGAACAAGTATTAAAATCTATCTATCTATCTATCTATCTATCTATCCATCCAAACATCCATCCATCCATCCATCCATCCATCCATCCATCATCAATCCATCATCCATCCATCCATCCATCCATCCATCCATCATCCATCCATCATCAATCCATCCATCTATCCATCCATCCATCCATCATCCATCCATCCATCCATCATCATCCATCCATCATCCTTCCATCAATCAATCTATCCATCCATCCATCCATCATCCATCATCCATCCATCTATCCATCCATCCATCCATCATCCATCCATCCATCCATCATCATCCATCCATCATCCTTCCATCAATCAATCTATCCATCCATCCATCCATCCATCCATCCATCCATCCATCAGGCATATAGACACAGCCTCGTGTTAAATGTGAACTCTTTACAGCTGATCACATCGACTTCTTCAACCTGAAATCCAGTGAGACCGGACACTTAAAGCAACTATTGTTCCTCAGAAAACACCAGGAACTGATTATTGACCTGTTCCTGTTTAGTTATTCTGGACACATTACTGCTAAACCACACAAAAGCTTCTCTAATTCTTAACTATGTTAAATATGCCCGTGGCATTTTAACTGGATTAAAAGTTGTTGTCGCAAAGTCCATGCAGTGTTTTTATCCGAAGACTATAAGTAGAGTCAGACTTCAGAAACAGCACTGAGACCATGGGATTCTTCATCTATTTAGAGAAGATAAGATTAGATTACACATTATTGTTTTCAGGAGGGACATGTGGTTTTATAGCGGCACATTTGGAAAAGAAGAAAAGTTACCAGTGTCGTTATCTGAAGAGATGAAGATCTGTTATCTTATTCTGACTGTTAAATAGTTCTTTGAGATCTAACTGAGAGTCTATTTTTTCACGTGTTATTATTTCAACATATCGTATTCATTATATACTTCCAACTGATGCCTTTGTAATGAAAATAATATAATAATAATAATATAACACTCCTTACAGTGATAGGTCAACTTTTATTTTGAAAAGAACAAATTACATTTACCAAAGTATCGTAAGTAAAACTTCAAGTACTTGTTCCTTACTTCAGTATTTAATGTAATACTTTATACATCTACTCCACAACGTTTGGGAAGCCAGTATTGTACTTTTTCCTCCACTACATTTATGTGACGGCTTTTGACTTTGATTTTAAGCCTTTGCAGACCATTTACGGTACGTCCACACAGTTCCGTCGCGTGCTTCAACGGAGACGCTTCCCATTCACTTTGAATGGGGTGACGTCAAGCTTTGCCGAACTGCATTGTGGTTCCGTCACGTTGCTTTGCCCTCCGTTGCTCACTTTGAAAGTTGAGAAAAGTTAAACTTTTCCAGCGTCGACGGAAGCGCCAGCCAATCAAATCACATGCCAGTACAAGCGATAGCCAATCAAACCGCGTGCTTGTGTGTCTGGGGCGGGAGATTAATGTGATTGGTTGTTAGTCGAGCACCAGACACGCCCACCGGCAAGCTTCAACGCAACGGAACCGTGTGGACGTACCGTTACATGCACAACCTACATGACACACTACATGAAAGGGAAAACCCCAAAAAGTATAACGGGGCCCCTTTAAGATCTGAGTGCTTCTTCCAACCGTGTTAACCTGGCTCCATACTTTTATTTTGAAAAGAAGGAAGTACATTTCCCCAAGTACCCTAAGTAAAACTTCAAGTACTTACTTGAGTATTGTTATTTAATACTTTAAACATCTACTCCACAACCTTTGGGAAGCCAGTATTGTACTTTTTCCTCCACTAAATCTATTTGACATACCTTTTGATTTAAGCCTTTGCAGACCATTTACATGCACACAAACTTACATAACACACTACATGAAAGGGAAACCCCCAAAAAGCATAATAGAGCCCCTTTAAGATTCTTCCAACAGTGCTAAAATGGCTCCACTTTCACCAAAAGGAGACGTTGTTTTCTGAATCTATTACACATTATGCAACAGCGCTTCTCTGGCAGCGTCCACTCGATCCACATTGGAAGAGTGTGGCACTTAATTACTCCTCTGCCAGAGAAGATGAAGGCAGGGCACCAAACCGCACTCATAACTCATAAAAAAGCTATTTGAAACCAGTCTTTAAATAAAACAGTGGGATGATGGGAGATGGCCAACTGACTCAGGGTTAGAGAAACAAGAAGGGCGATGAGTAATGCAAAATATAATGCAGAAGTGATGGAGGCTAAATAAGATTGTTAGCTAGTATTTTAAAGAACATTTTGAGGACAAGAACCCTGTCTTTTAGCAGATAACCTTATTAAGATACAGCTATATAATCTTGAGACTATGTTCCAGCTGTTCTATCACCAGAACCACAGAACAACCATCAGTCCTAACAGAGGAAGGACCAAAGAAGAAGAGAGGAGGAAACTTACGTGCAAAGGATGGATTGGTCCTCACGATCTGTACGGAGAAAAAGAAGAGAAAACACAGTCAGCATCTTCACATCCTCTCCATGGTTTTACCCATCATTACAACTAGAGTAATTACAAAGAAGGAACACATGAATGCAATGCAACTCAACCAGTATGTTTTCTTGGTAGGCTATAGGGCACAGTATCAATACAGAGGCACAGTATGCTAGGTACATTTTGGAAAAATACACATAGAGTTTTGCTGAAAAGACATTAAAACCACTTTATGATTATTGAGGTAAAAAGCTACAGCACGGTCACATGACTTCCCGTCACCACCGCGAAGCTAAAGGCGGCTAATGTTGGGCTATAAAGGAACTACAGCATGGTCACATGACTTCACGTCACCACCGCTAAGCTAAAGGAGGCTAATGTTGGGCTATAAAGGAACTACAGCATGGTCCCATGACTTCACATCACCACCGCTAAGCTAAAGGTGGCTAATGTTGGGCTATAAAGGAACTACAGCACGGTCACATGACTTCACGTCACCACCGCTAAGCTAAAGGTGGCTAATGTTGGGCTATAAAGGAACTACAGCATGGTCCCATGACTTCACATCACCACCGCTAAGCTAAAGGTGGCTAATGTTGGGCTATAAAGGAACTACAGCACGGTCACATGACTTCACGTCACCACCGCTAAGCTAAAGGTGGCTAATGTTGGGCGTGATGACGTTTAGTCGTCTCATTTAGACACTTAAATCCACCAGTGGGGTATTTACTGACGTATTTTATGTCGTAGAATAAAACTTTAAAATCTCTTCAGCTTGTGTTAACCACAGACCTTATTTCAGGCTAACAACCAAAAACTGGACTCATTCCTGTTCCATTAAACACAGAGTTATTGCTCCATGGACACCAACGTCATATATATTCAGTGTTTGCACATTTTACAGCCATTCCTCAGCCTCTTTCATCCAGACTATACCTCGCCTGCTGTGTAATGTCCATAAAGCGACACCCAAACTCGTAACCAAAGCTGTAACACCTTTCATCACAGAGGAATCCACACTGAAGTCCAGATGACAGGATTAGCTATATGCTCACTGAAGTGTGACCTCTCAACTCTGAGGGTCCTACTGAGCACCATAAAGAACTACAAAGCCCAGAACCCAGAGTACAAGCAAACAGAAGATGACACAATCTGAGCATGTCATAACTAATATGTCGAATATTTAAGTAACGTCTGTGAATATGGCAACTTTTACTTATTTTGAAAGGGTTTTAAAGTTCTTCTAGAGCAGTAGATCACACTAAAGCTCATCATCCTCTCAATTGGTCTTCTTCTTCATATTGAGTAATGCTTTTTGTGCCAGGTGTTGTACTTTGTGTGGCCTCCTGCTGCTGACATTCTTGTGGTAGGAAGTGAGGAGATTTTTTATTTTCTGAAGAAGACAACACCTCCACATTCCTAAACTACAAGAAACTGAAAGGCATGGGACCACTGCCGACCCATATGCACTCACATTGCCCACCACTACACTCTTCAGGACACACAGTACATGCCTTCATGATGTCTTGTTTATATATCCTTCCTATCAACTGTTTTCTAGCTCAATAACAAACACAGAGAGATGATATTTCACCGTGATTCCTTCATTTTAAATGCTTCCTGGACATGTTGACCGGCACCAATTTCTTCTAATGGGAACGCTGTGTAACTTATCACGAGTTTGACAATCAAACACACACTCACTAAAAAAAGGCTCCGAGCAACATAGAGTCAGCGTTACGTGATTAAAGCGGGAACGTGTTAGCACGGTGACATCATGTTTCTGAAATTAGCTCTCAATCTGCAACGAATTGGAAAACAATCTGGTACAAATTGCGATAAAAAGCCACACATTGGACGTGCAGGGTGCTGCAGAACTGAAGTCCAGATACCCACACAGTTACCTCGAGTGTTGCTCTGGTGCTTTAACAAACACCATGTGATGGATAAGTCTTTCCTGTTCCTCTGGAAGCGTTTTGTTTGCAGTTGAGGCAACATGAGCAGTAATGGATACCATGGCTAAAGCTAGAACAATGAAAAGATGCTCAGAAAAAAGTCTCACATTGTAGGGTTGACCATCGATGCTTTCACCAAAAGAAGGAAGGCTATGAGTCTGGGAAATTCAGAAATAATTACATCACTCTACTGTAATGCATTCTTTAAAAACCAGATAAAGGAAAAATGTACGATGTCAGGGCATCCAAATTCTAAGATGATATCCAGTCTCAAATCACGATATCGATATAATATTGATATATTGTCCAACCCTATACCAGATGTCCTCTGTTGACCCTGATGTAAACAGATATTACACAGTAGTATTCATGTGTTAATAAGCCACATTTCCAAATAAATTCAGTCAATTAAACAAACAAACAAATCTTATTTGATAAAAAAGCCCAATAACTTATTTCCATACTAACAACAACCATATTTCCCTTTATTATAATCAGTCTGAGGCTTCTGTTTTAAGGGATGAGCTGCTAAAATGAAAATAAATGAAACCCTGTGATGCAGGCTGTTATAGCATATTCAAATTTACAGAATAATTTACCTACATTTGATTGAGTTTGCTAACTTCTAACTTAACTTATGAGGCAATATACCTCACCTTTAATGAGGGGTCCTTCGTATGTGTTGGAGCTATATACTGCTTCATATTATTGAATAGTTTAACATTTATCTTCTTGTTGTTTTTGTGTATAGTAAACATTTTATTTAGTGATATTATTTAAGGTAGTTAAAGTTGTTTTATGCAGGTGGAGGTGGGATTAGTGCACCAGTATGTCATATGGTCTTTTACCAAGGAAAGCACAAGGAGGCCACAGGAAAGGCAAAGGGCAAGATTTAGGAAATGGTCAAATATGTTTTGGTGGTATTGGATCATGTAATAAATGTACAGGAACAAAGATCTTGTCTTGGATGATTCCCTGCGTAAGATTCACTATCTGGGGCCTCGGCGGCAGTTTACTTTTCTAGGATTTTAGGATGTTTTTCCATGTGTGGCCCTCAGTGAGAGTATGTATGGACCCCCCTGATCTAAGGTGCTGTTTTAAAGAGTGATAGCGTGCATCCGTCTCCTCCACGCTGCCACCTTCGCTCTCTTGGCAGCGAATGCTTCCTCCAACACTATACAACGACTGCTGGGTCGTATTTACCCAGGGTGCCATGCTGGCTGGACCAATCAGACGGCTCTTCCAGTAGCTCATTACTGCCTCGCTAAATCTTTCCCCCCTTTGTGTTTCCCTCTCACTCTGCTGCTCTCATTTCCCCCTTTTCCCCTCGTGAACGCTGCAAAGCCAGACCACTACGGAGCGGAAACTCACTGAAATCCCGTTTCCTCACCAGCAACATGTGCTTTTAATTAATCACCTCATCAACGGGAACTCACAGCCGGTTATTTAGGTGATGTTAATGTCAGATGGAAATAAGTCATGTTTCCAGTTATAGGTCAGACCGCAGTTCAGGCTCTGTTTGGAAACAATCTACATGTCGTCATAGGAGAAGGAGGCTTTCAACCGATCAGTTCTGCGACCACGGTTCACTGTAGGGTGAAATACTTAACTCCATTAACAAGATATAGTAGTTCTTCTTGCAACAAAATCCAGCCGTTTCCATTTCCGTTTCTATAGTTACCTTTAATTCCATGTTACTTCAAAATCAAATAAAAAATGCAGAAAAAAACCCCTTTAAAATGAGTATTGGTATTCTCAGGGGTGTAACAATGACTTAAGAATGGATTGTTTTATAAATTCAATAATCAATGATCCAGCATCACGAATGCAAAGTTAATTGTCATTTTCAGTATACCCTTATTATGAAATTCCCTTTTGCCTTAGAATAGAGCTTACATTTCTATTCCATTTATTAAAAAGAATAGATTGGAATCTAAATATGGTTAAAGTAGAAAAAGTAGAAGTACTCAGATCTTGTACTTGAGTAAAAGTAGAAGTACTCAGATGTTGTACTTGAGTAAAAGTAGAAGTACTCAGATGTTGTACTTGAGTAAAAGTAGAAGTACTCAGATCTTGTACTTGAGTAAAAGTAGAAGTACTCAGATCTTGTACTTGAGTAAAAGTAGAAGTACTCAGATCTTGTACTTGAGTAAAAGTAGAAGTACTCAGATCTTGTACTTGAGTCAAAGTAGAAGTACTCAGATCTTGTTCTTGAGTAAAAGTAGAAGTACTCAGATCTTGTACTTGAGTAAAAGTAGAAGTACCAGAGAGTAGGAATACTCTGTTTCAGTAAAAGTCCTGCATTCAAAATGTTCCTCAAGTAAAAGTAGAAAAGTATTATCATCAAAATATAGTGAAAGTAGCGACAGTAAAAGTAGTCATTGTGCAGATTGGTCCATTTCAGAATAATATATATGATATGTTTTATAATGATTGATCATGAAAGTGTTCTCAAAGCTGGTAAAGGTGCAGCTAGTTTGAATGACTTTGTATACTGCAGGGTAGCTTGTGAATTTACTCCAGGTGGAACTAAAGTCTGATTTAACACTTGATTAGATTTCACATCATTCATCCAGATCTGTGAAATAACTAAAGGTATTAAATACATGTAGTGGAGTACAAGTACACCATTTACCTCTGAACGGTAGTGGAGTAGAAGTACCAAGATGGTATCTCAAAATTATACTTAAGTACTTGAGTAAATGTACTTAGTTACTTCCCACCTCTGAGTATAAGTACAATATCATATCCTAATGAAACCTGTCATTCCCATCCCTGTTGATTAATTCTCCCATTTTAAGAAACTTTGCATACTTTCTAGACTATAGTTTCCTCTCCAATTCACTCAAATCTCACAAATAACCCTCTCAAGACGTGCCATGGATACAATATTTTTGTCCAATTCATTTCTAATGACCAGTGTCACGTGATCGCAAACTTTCCCAGTGAGAGAAAAAAACATGCCGGACAACCGATTTATTTTTAGAGGAAAATCCTAAATTGTAGGATAGTTTGGCGTTAAAATGCTTTTTGAATCTAC